AACCATTTTCATGCATGACCAAATCGCTAAAATGTTATCATAAATTTTAATGGCAAAATTTGTAAAATGGCAAATTTAAGTTTAAAAAGATTTTTTATTTTCCAAAAACTTCTTTCTATGAACATAGTACGAACTAAAATGCCCAAAAACCTAAATTGTCGTTTTTCAAGTTTTACCATTAAAAATTTACATTACCATTTTAGCGATTTGGCCATGTATGAAAAGCCGAAAATGGTTTTTATTTTTTTAAGCGAAAACGGTGCAATAATATTCAATTCAATAATATTTTGTTTAAGTACCGTAGGGTGGTATACAGTGGTGTAATAGATATTAAAAAAGATCGATTTTTTTTCTTAAAAGTTTAACACCCTGTATTTTGAAAACGACGCATTTCCGACCATCAGTTTTGGCGAGATCTACCTACCTTTAGATTTTGATACAATAGTTTCGGAACACCCTGTATTTTTAAATCTACGAAAACTTAGGGATATTTTAAATTAATTTCAGATTCAAGAAGAAAAACTAAAGAAAACTTTAAAATTGACTAAAGTAACAGACTTTTTTAGTATTTGCGAAACCCCTTTAACGTCAAATTCTGAGTTGAATAAAAATCAAGATCATGACAACTGCCTTCCTGTTCAACTTTAAGCAATATTAGTTTAAGTGAAAATAACAGCAATGAGGAAAAAATAATCCGACCTGGGGGCCCCAAGGGTAGCCTATAGCCCCGGGCCCCCTAGAACCTTAATCCGGCACTGGCGTATCAAATACTCGTCAGCGAGTAATAGCAGTATATATGTATAGTATAGATCCCAAAAATACGTAGTAGTTCTATATCCACGGAATATTGGGACACCCTGTATAAGGTCGCGGTGATTAACTTATATCAATGACTAAATACAAAATTATTCATTAAAAACTGCCAAAAAATACTTGAAATTATCTGGTCACCCGGTCTATATTACAGATTACAGACGTTCTTCCATTTTTGAAAGATAAATTTTGCGTAACGTATTTGCAAATAAAAGTGATATTTTTTCCGTTTAAGTTTATTCAATAAGTACTTATTACTGAGAAAGCGTTGTTATAAATAAATAATGATGTCATTGAAGCTGTATGTTTGAATTTGTACTTATCAACTGCGGTATAAAGCAAACTGTAACGATTGCTTAACAAATCAAACAGAACTAATCTCGACAGAATGATACCATGTTGCCAGAATTGGAGGATTTCCTTCAATAAGAAGGATTTTACTTTATTTATTAATTTTATTTATTTAGATAATAAAAATATAGGCACGTCACTGGTAAACCCACGTATTCGGGTTCATGCAAAAATCAGCACTAATAAATTTGCACAAGCTCAGCGAAAAAAATCGTACCTGGTATTTTAATGGGTACGTATAAAGGAACAGGACCGTATTAAACTAAATTTGTAGTCTCAAAAATGTGAAAGATCATTAAATTTCTGTAATCCAAAGCATTCAACTGATATTCCTGTGAAATTCGGCATCATTACAAGATTTGAACTAAAACGTGATGGTTATTTCAACAAATATTATAGAGCTGCTCTATATTAACTTATTTCTATGAGGTCCAGACGCGTATCCGAGGCTGCAAACACATCCAGGGCAGTATTGATTTCCAAATGTAGGTCAAACTTTCAACCAAAACATAGTACGAAAATTTTAATCTCAGTATTTAAAGTTCTAGATTGGTTAACTAATGTTTTACATAAAGGAAATGACAAGACGTTGTGTTTGAGACCCTTTTTATATACCAGGTGTACCTTTGTTAATCGCGTTTATACTTTTCCAAATTTCCATACCTACCGTTTTAGAAAAAATTTAAAAAAAACATGAAAATATGAATAAAGTCCTAAAAAGAGAGTCCAAAAAATCATGGTAATAAAGTAATAACAATTCGTTTTCATTCTTTGATAGATGGTTATTATTATCTTGATTAACTTTTTTTTCATATTAAAAGTTAGGTACGTTTTAAAAAATATTCAGAAATTATTATTTCAAGGAATTTATTACGAGTAGCAAAAATATTGTGCTGGGTTGGCGTTGGTTTCTATGTAATTTGACAAATAAACAAAGCTGTCTCTTTAGTTGTCTGTTTTGAGTCAATATTTTTTAATTCTCTTTCGTGTCGATCGCTGATTGAATTAGAGCCAGAAATGGCTTAAAACGAAATAAGTAAATTACCAACAGATATTCAGGCTGAGGCGACACATGCCATATCCAAACTACTTCCATTTCAATCGCGAATAACTTATGAAAAGGAATAGAAAAATTTTCAAAAATGGAAGCAATTAAAAAACGTGCGAGAAGAAATACAGTTTTTAACCTATCCTCGCTGTTAAAGTATCATTTAATCCACCCTTGTGGTTAAAGTACTATTTTATCTACTATTTTTGATAGATATAAGGCAATTTTAACAGTTACTATGGAAAAAATAAATTTTGTGCTTCTTTAACATTTGAAAACAACAAAAATATGACGTTAATTAAAATGCTATCAATAGCTCTTTTCGTTTTCCTGTTATTACCGATTCTGAACCGTCCTAGAACTATGATGCGTATGCGCAGAAGGAAATATGAAGACATTATTTCATTTGCGCATGCGCTGCAGAATTCTAGGACGTTTCAGAATCGGTAATAACAGGAAAACGAAAAAAGCTAATAACAATCTATCAAAGAATCAAAACGAAATTATATTACCATAGAAACGCGTTTTGATTGAATTCAACTATATTTTCATGATTTTATCACAGAACAGATACAAATTTCTAGATTTTCCATAGGATTGACAATTTTAGAACAAGCAATTTGTTTATACAAGGTGAGTTTCCTACGATGTTCTCTATGGGTATCTCGGAAACTACTGGAGGTAGAGAGTCGGTTAAATGGGTTCATTTGAAAAATTCATATTTACAATTTTTGTTTATTTTAATTTACAAAGTTTGGATGTGACAGCTTCACATTTATGAGAGCAAAGACGATTAAACTTGTTTCCATGGCTAACTAAGTGAAATTATTTAAAATTGATAAAAATTGGCTATAACTCGATAATTTTTCGAAGAAAATATATTATAGCTTATATCGCTGAAAAGCTTAAAAAATGTTTGTTTCATATGTCAAAAATGACAGGCTTTAGAAAAAAACGGAGGACACAGGTTCATTAAGGATGTGATTATCTACAACTTTTATCTGAAAACTTTTTGTCTAAAATAGCTTATAATGGAATTAGAGACAATTTTTAAAATAGCCAAAATTAGTTTTTTTCGAAATATCTAGTAAGCCATGAACTTTATCAAAAATCTGAAAGGCGCATATTTATGACCCCACAAAACTGCAATTCTTTCCCCATTTAACCGACTCTCTATCTCCAGTAGTTTCCGAGATACCCATAGAGAACATCGTAGGAAACTCACCCTGTATACAATGCATTTTTCTCAAAATGTCAATATTAAAAAAGTTTTTCCTCTTGTAAAGACAATCCGAAGACATACTGTAGAACCTACAAATAAATACGCTACGCACATTTGCACGACCCTGTATAATAAGAATCCGATAATTGATTAAACAAAAAATGTTATCTAAACTCCATTTTATTTGTTATAATAATAAATGCCTATGTCACAGATAATATTTTATTAATTTTTAATCACATCATAGGATTGATATCAATAATATAACCACAGATAACATTTATACTACGTTATCTGTGATATTCCTTCAATATAAGAGAATTATTTTTATAGATAAAACTAATAATTCAATAAAATTTACAATAATTATAGATATATAAATTGAAACATTTTTTTTAATTAAATGAATGTTTAACTGTTACTTAGCTACAAAAACTAATTGGTATTTTAACATACCGCATTAACTATGCGTTCTATGAATTCCTGTTGTAACAATTAAGAACGTTTTTTTTAATATTTCAATTAATATGCACAACACTTATTTTTAACTGTACGTGCTCTTCCTTTAGTATATCCTAAAAAGAATTTTTATCAGTAACATTTGATCTTACCGATCTATAAAATAATAATTTAAACATTCTAGAATATTATTCATTTGATTTTTTGAAGTTTGTACAAAATAAAGTAGGTATATTATTGCGCCCATGGTATAAGATAGTATAGTGTTTAGACGACTAGTTCAATATACAGGAATACAGTTCGGACCACCCTGTATAGTAAAAAACGCAAAAATAACGAAATACTTTTAAAAAAAAAGATATTTAAAAATTCTACAATATTATTCCTTGCATATTTTTGAAGTTTTACCAAAATTATGTATATTTTTTTGACCACCAGTTTAAAATAACGTTTAAAACACACACAAAAATAAAAAAAAATACTTTTAAAAACTTATTTAAACAATCTAGAATATTATTGCTTCGTTTTTTTGAAGTTTGAACAAAATAATTTGCGTCCATTTTATAAGTTACTTTTTTTACTAGTTCAAAATAGTGCAAAAATACTTTAAAATAAATTTATTTAAACTTTGTACAATATTATTTCATGGATATTTTTGATGTGTAATCAAAATTAAGTATATTTTTTGACCACCAATTCAAAATAACTTTAAAAAATACAAAAATTCTTAAATACTTTTAAACAACTTATTTAAACATGCTTTTTAAACAAAATTAAGTATATATTGACCACAATAAGTGTTATTCCTTTATCAAAGAGTTCGAAATATCGTAAAAATGCAAAATTAACGAAATGATTGTAAAAGAAATGTTATTCAAGCATTCCACAATATTATTTATTGGATATTTTTGATGTTTCATCAAAATAAAGTATACTGAAACTGACCGCCAGTCCAAAATAATCCAAAAAATATCAGTATATTGTTTAAAACCTTAATTAGACAATTTAAAACATTATTTGACCACGATAAGTGTTATTCTTTTGACCACCTGTTAGAAAAACCGTAAAAAAACCGCAAAAACTGGAAAATACTTTGAAAAAACTTACTTTTCTTTGTGCCTCCGCGGCAAATCCACTTTTCGTAGCCCTGTTCGATGCCATTTTTTTACAGTTGTGCGAATGAATGAAAAAAAACCGGTCTACAAAAATGTTGTGGCACTTTTATCAAGTTGTTCCCAGCGCTGTGGGTTTTTTAAGACTGAATTCTGTCTCTATTCTGCTGTTCGCCGTCACTGGTATCTGCTGTCCGTCCTTGTTTGTCTGGATGATTTAGAAAAAGAGGGGTGTTCGAGTGGCAGGAAACCCTCGAGCATGAAACGTGCTAGATATGGGTTTCGATACATAGGTGATGCCATGATAAATCGTATTGAGCAGTTTGAACAGGTTTGTACTGATATATTGGGTATTTATTGATAAAATGGAGAGGATATGTGTTGTAATGAGTGTGGAATTTTTTAAACGTGTCAGAAAAAAGTATTGAGAATAAAGTCTGTACCAATTTAGAATTTATTAGAATTTAGAATGAGTGGGAGGGGGGTTAATCACTGCGACCTTACAGATCCATTGTGTCCCCCTTTCTTGAGTCATAACTCATCATACAGTCCCAGGGCTTTGACAAAAGCCAGTATCTGGGACGGTTTTATAGAGGGTAGTTCTCCATCTCCAATATCAGTCGTACCAAAATTCATGGCACGAATGGTTGTCGTCTCGGCGCACTCAGTGATGAGGTGTACTGTGTTTCCTCATTTTCCCCACAGAATCTGCATTCGCCGTTTCTTCTTAGTTTCAATCTACTGAGGTGTTAATTGAGGAGACAGTGTCCTGTTAAAAACCCCGTGACAATCCGAAGATTGTTCTTACTTAAACCCAGGAAGATCTGTGATTTTTCTTAATCATAAGCCCTCAGAAACTTCTTCGAGTGTCTTAGACCGTTGCAAGATTCCCACTCCAGGTTGCGGACGGAATCTTCCAAGTTTTTGAGTTCCGCCTTGAGTTGATTACCACTTGGAAAGCAGAACGGTTCTGGTCCAGTTAGTGGAGTGTTCGCTCCTTTTCTAGCTAGATCATTTGCTTTTTCATTGCCTTCTATCCCTTGGTGAGCAGGCACCCAGAGTAGGAGGACTTTGTTTTCTTTGCCTAATTTATTCAGCTTCTCTATGCATTCTTTGGCCAATTTCGAATTGATTGATACTGAGTTGATCGCTTTTACGCTGCTTGACTATCAGACAAGATGGCTATTTCTTGTTTCCGATAGTTCCTATCAAAGATAAGTTGTACGCATCTTTCGATAGCGTAGATTATAGCCTGTAGGATACTAGGGTAAGTGCCCATTGGTTCGGAGTATTTAGCTCTCGGCCCAAACACTCCGATCCCTGTTCCCGTATTGGTTTTGGAAGCATCAGTATACCAAGTTATGGTATGGTCTTTTAACTGCTGGGCAAGCGTTTCGCTCTTCCGTCTGTACCAATGCCATGAAAAAGATATTTTTGACTCAACTTTCGTTTAGCTGAAATCTGTTATATAAAAAATGACTTTGTATATGCGTTCTAGAAGGCGTTAGGAGTACAAATATGCGTCATTTTCATTTTTCGGACACTTTAGTATAGACGAAATCTGTTACATCAAAACTAGTCTTCGGGGTGTGTTTTAGACATTTTTCTAAACATAAACACACAAAAAAGTGTCTGCGAAAATTTTTTATTTTTATTTTACATAAAAAAAATGCTTTGACTTTAGAATAGCCGAAATCAGTTACATGAAAAATGAACTTATATTTGTTTTATACGAGCCTTTTCGAGCAAAGAAATACAAAAAAATTCCTGCGGAAATGTGTCAATATCAATTTGTGCACTTTGTTTTTCATACATTTTTTAGTTTAGAAGCTTACGGGACCCGGGAGCGAATAGGGGTGCTGTAACAATTCTTGTAGAATAGATAATATAGGTTCTTGTAGACAATAAGTACCTCGGTATGTTGCACTTATTCTTGTTTTTTATTAAAGCTTTACGTAAATAGGGCTGATTCAAAATAAAAAATCATTGGATCATGCAGTTTTCTTTCATATTTTAATAATTAACTGTGATTTTGCAAAAATATTAGATTGGTTAGCATTTGGGTTGCTGTGGTTAGCTTTTCTTTCTGGAGGGTGTTAAGCTGTGGTTTTTATATTTTAATAATTAACTGTGATTTTGCAAAAATATTATTAGATTGTTAGGATTTGGGTTGCTTTGGTTAACTTTTCTTTGTGGAGGGTGTTAAGCTGTGGTTTTTGTATTTTAATAATGTAAAATAAAAATCAAGCATTTTTTATTTTCCGGAGTTTGTAAACGCTTCTAAAAGGCAAAAATATATTTATTTTTTATATAACTGATTTCAGCTATTCTAAAGTGTAATAAATTTCCTTAGAAAATGAAAACAGCTTATTACCGCAGGAAAATTTTTGTGTTTAAATGTTCAGAAAAATATTAAAAATAAAACGCAAAATGTATTTTTTATAGCAGATTTCAGTTATTCTAATGGAGAAATTTGGAAATTACGCAATTCCGCAGGAAAATTTGTGTTTTCCGTGGTTCACAGTAGCTTTTTAAAGACAAAAATTTTTTTTTCTAATAACTGATTTCAGCTAAACGAAAGTTGACCCATATTTTTTCCTTAAAATTTTAGTTTTGTTGTTAATAATTGATAGGAGACTATATCGATCTCTTTAACATTGTTAATTAATGTCTACACAGGGTGACACAGGTAAGTACAGACCATCTAAAGTAAATGAAAAATATATATATTTTTTTGTTTATTTATTAATATCTCTAAAACTACCGAAATATATTTACTCATATCTTAGGATTATGTAAAGTGATCTGAAAAGAAGCCAAAAATGCAATAATATACAGGGTGTTCCGTTTAAAAAAAAATCATCTCGACTCACACTTTTTTGAGCTACCCTATAGAAGTTAAAATATTTTTCCAGGATTTGCGCTTAAACAAAATTCTTAAGTTTTTTGACGGACCCTGTATATAATATGGCTGATGACTGCGTAGAACAATCAGATTAAAGCCAGATTAAAGCAAAGAACTTGAGCAGCAAAAAGGAGACGTGTTAACTGAATATACTTTTTTTTTTTTATAAATCTATAAACTTTGATGGTCGAAGCTCTTATAGGGGTCAATTCACAAAACGGTTTAAGACACGATACAACTCTTCAAAACCCTTAAACAAGAAAAAAACCTCCATGATTCACCCTTTACCCAATTTCTAACATTTTAAGACACTTTTTTCGATTATTTTAGCTGAAATTTTCGGTTTTTCTGGCGCGCTCTGTAGGTAAACCGGTCGGGTAAAAAGACGTTGAGTACTATAGCCCGAGGAAATTCACAAAAAGGTTCGTTACATAACGACTAAATCGTGGTACGAACAATGCCATCGGAGACCAGAGGTTAAAGTAGGTGAAAACATTAGATGGAAGTCGTGAATCGGGCAGGGTTTCAGAACAGAAATCGAACTAGACTCAATAAAATACTTTTAAAGAATTATTTATTTAATTTTTTACACTTAAATAGCTAAGCTGTAGACTTAAGTAGCACAAAACTCACGTTTCATTTTTTTACGATCCATATAATCAAAAAAAAACCGGCTAAAACAAATAAAAACCCCTTGTAGGAAAAAATTACATGTGTTTCTCGATAATTAACATCAGATAAACAAATTAGAATAAAAATGCCCTGATGAAAAGTAATAGAAACAATTACAAAACCTGGTGCATCAGCTTCGTATACTAAAAAAAAATCTATACTAATATTGTGCTAATATAATAAATAGGTAATAAATAAAATCCTTAAGTGACTGACATACTGATTAATCACGATCCTGCTCAAACCACTCAACATAAGAAGCTCAGTTTTGGCATACATATTGATTCTAGGGTGTAGAGGTTCGATAAGAAGGGATTTTTCGAAATTCCAGTTCCAATAGGGTGAAACCCATATACGTATTACTTTTTACAAATATACTCAGGGTTCCCTATTTAACCCCGTGTGCAATTTCTGTGCCGTAAGAAAAAGACAACATAACCCAGCTCCATATTAAAACTGCATAAGTCTATTTCACCCGGATATGGATTGAACTGCGATTGCGCCAAACTCCGATTGATTGTTGTTTTAGTTCTGTTTGTATTACTTTTTATTTGTGCGCGTAAAAGAGTGATTTTGTTTAGTTTATTGTTTCCAACTATTTTTTTATATTTTTCCAACTCCATGATAATGTGTTATAAATAATAAAAATATAAATCAAATTGAAGGTTAGGGGAAATGTCAGTCAACCACTTCCCTTTAAAAACATCGACCAATGAAAACTTCTTCAGGTGAGGCATGCTCAGTTAAATGAATATCCGGGTGAAATAGACTTATGCAGAATTCCATATTGTTCTTTCACTGTTTGGGCTTCACTTTTTGGAGATTAGGCTGAGTATATTTGTAAAAAGTAATACAAGGGTAATACGTATATGGTGAAACCACCCCTAAAATATTACAATATTTTTTATTTAAAAAACGGTCAAGTTTCCGAAGAAACGCTTAAACACGTATATTTTATTTTGTTTTTTTACATATTTTAAGATTTTTTAAAAATGATTGAGTTAATTAATCACGATCCTGCTTAAAGCGCTTGACGAAAAAGCTGATTTTTGGAAAACAGATTGACTTTAGGGTGTAGAGGTTCGATAAGAAGGAATTTTTCGAAACTCGAATTCTAAGGAGGTGAAACTATCCCTCAAATATTAAAATAGTTTTTATTTAAAAACCGGTGAGTTTTTCGGAAAACTCTTAAACACGTATATTTTATTTTGTTGTTTTACATATTTTAAGATTTTTTTTATAAATTTATACAGGGTGTTTCATAAAATATGACCATTGAGTAATCACGATTCTGCTTAAACTGCTTGACGTTTAAAGCTGATTTTTGGCAAACGGATTGACTGTGGGGTGTAGAGGTTCGATAAGGAGGGGTTTCTCGAATCTCAAATTCCAAGAGGGTGAAAACGCCCCTCAAATATTACAATATTTGTTATTTAAAAAACGGTTAGTCATTCGGGAAAACGCTTGGACAAGCATAATTTATTTTGTTTTTTTTCATATTTTGAAATGTTTAAAAAATCATACAGGGTGTTCCAAAAAGTTGGCTAATTTCTTAACCACGATTCTGCTTAAACTGCTTGACGTAAAAAGCTTATTTTTGGCAAACGGATTTTTCGAAAGTCAAATTCCAACGAGATGAAACTACCCCTCAAATATTACCAAGTTATATAATAATATGGCCATATTGTTTTTTCTCATGCTGACATAAATGTGAGAAAATTTTATCCAGTTTGTATGTTAATGGAAATTCTTGCTTTGCTTTATCATCACCATTACAAATGATTAATTCGACGCGAACGAAGTCGCTGGTACACGCTAGTTAGAGACAAAACTCAATAAAAACCACTTTTAGCAAAAAACGACACGTGTTTCTTGATAATTAACATCAGATAAACAAATTAAAATAAAAGTAACAGAAACAATAAATAATAATAAAAAAAAAGTAATAGAAACAATTTTACAAGACCTGGTGCATCAGCTTCGTATACTATAAAGAAAATTAGAGATAAAACCCAAATAATAGAGGCATTTTGAAAAAGCAAACAAAAGAAAAAAAACGCTACTAAGACTATCATAATGTTGATCTAATAACAATTTTACGTTTATACTATTACGTCAAAAGCAACTTTTCTCCAAAACCTACCATGACTTCACTGAGGCATCGTTTCTTGTTCACTGTTATTAATATCTTAATTATTAGATATTAATACACCTGATAATTATGGTGTTCTGGTACATCATCGATTTTAAAATAAACTAACTGTTTCTATCTTATTTTTTTATTAGAATGGGCATAATCAAGAGGGTTTGAAAGAAGATATCAAGATGCTGTTTTAGTTGACTTTTTAAGCTTTTATTACTCTTTACTATCAGCTAAAATTACATATACTATCGTATTTAATTTTTTTGAAAAAACGCGGAATGTTTGTTAAATTGTAAGACAGCGCCCCCTAGCGTCTACGTTCAAAAGCTTATTTTTATTATTTTTATGGTATAATATAGAGTAAGGAACGGTCTTTTAAACAAGCCCTAGTTTGTTGGATTCTGATCATCCAGTCCGGAGTTATTAGCATTTAAATTAAGATAGATATAACCTTCCCCCACCACTTTATTTTAGCATGTAGGAAAAAATGGTTCTTACAAAAAAAATCCAAAATTTACTAAGGATTATAAAGCTATTTTATTTATATAGTACCCATTATCTAAGCAAAATTCTGTAAAAAATTCTGTATTTTCTTATTTTCCATAGCTGTTGCGCCCTCTAGCGGCCGTTTTACATACTTGATTTCTCATAGCCCCTTTGTTATAAATATTTTTTTCCGTAGGCCCTACGGCTAATATTTTCCGAGATACAGCCGAGAGCTATTCTTAGTGGGACACCCGGTGCATCAAGAAATTAATTTTTATGCATAGAAGACGTGTGTCAAAACATCCTGTATAATAGATATATCGATTTTTAGCTACTTCAGGGTGAAAAAAAAACGAAGAAAGACCAAAAAATGAAGTTATACCTTTGAATAAGAAGACGAAGGAAGGAGCATAATGCTATCCATGTATTCATGCATGGTGGGCGGAAAAGCCACCATAAAAGCTCTCTAGGGTGGGGATCCTTGACAGTTCTGTTTGACGATTCATTTGACACATTTGAATTTGATTTGAAATTTTATGGATTTGTCAGTCTTTACGGAGCTTATTTTATGTTATTTATTATTTATTCTACTACTGATAGTTGTATAAAGGTAGTAAATCTAGATGGAAATTGTGGCAGAACTTAAATTAACAGTGACACTATCGCGATTTATCGAAAAAGACTCTAAAATAGTTGGTTGTGTAGCGTGCGGTAGATCTCGGCAAAAACTGAGTGAAATAATGGAACAACTTTTCGCTAGTAAGTGACTATATAATATACATACGTGTAGTAAACCAATCATTTATGAAATTCACTTAAATTAACTAAATTATATATTTTTCTTGCATTTTAGCTTTTATTTATTACTTGTCAAAGATTAGATGTCAAAGAATTTAGATACGTTAATTTGACTTACCTGCTTCAGTAGCGTATCGGATGTTTGTGTTAATAAATACTTATTATAACTTATCTATTTTTATTACAATTATATATTTTTATAACAATTTTAATAACTACCAACATTTATTCACAACGTAAAATAATACAACAAATTATGGAGTCTACCCCACGTCTACCCTACATCATAGTTTTACATTTTTTAAATAAAATTAGAAGGACACTGATAAACCGGAATTTAAGTCGGCCATATTTGAGGCCTATCGCGGTGGACCTAAGATTTTTGATATGCTCCTTCCTTAGTCTTCTTATTCAAAGAGTTATACCAAAATCAGAAATTCGTTTTTTTTCAACCCCTGTATAAGCTTTCCAATTCCTGTTTGAATTTCACGCGTTGCTATAGTAACCATTCTACTGTATATGACAACAATGAAACAAATCATCCACTACAGCGCGTATAATCGACCTACAAAAAATCGTTTTTTAACTTAATTTTTGACAAACTGATGGATTTTGGACTGGACAATGAGTTCGATTCCGATGACAGCTTTTTCGACGAGCCAAAACTAGCCATTAAAAAAGCAAGCCCGGCGAAAACTAACCCTAAAAAGTCCCTCGAAGACATTTTTGGCTTTCAAGAAGAAAAATCAAATGAAAAAAGTAATTTAGACACGCCTGGCAACATCGCAAGTAGTCCTGGACCTAAACCCAAGGTATTGTTAATTAAAATTAATATAATTTTATTTTTTAATTATAATTTAAATGATTTACCTTTCAATAAGAAAGATTAAGGAAGGCGGAGCGCGATGGAAGATTTTTAAAATATTTTTTTTTAATAATTTTAATATTTAAAATAAAACTCTAGGTACGTTTTAATGTTGAAGAAAATGCTTCTGAAGACGTTCAAAAAGGTTCCTCAAAGACTTCTGTTACCAGCAAAGGGCTAGATTGGCTAGGTAGCTCCGACAGTCTAGATTTTTCAAAAAAAGAACCAAAATCTTCCTCGAAAGGCGATATTTTAGACGACATTCTACCTTCAGCGCCTCAGAAATCTGAAACCAAAAAACCTCTCGACCTTTTAGATGATATTTTACCTAAAACTACCCAAAAAAGCGACTCAAAAAAAGCAATTTCGTTCGAGGACATCTTGAAAGACAGTAAAGCACAAAAAACTGGTTCTGGTAGTTTGGAACGGTCTAACTTTGATCTGACACAGTCAAAAAGTGGTACTGGATCGTTAGAAAATATATTGGGAGATAAAGGACCTGGAAACTTTGATAAAATACCTCAAAGAAATGCACTGAGTGCTAGTCTGGACTTGGAAAAGACTGGAATGGCTTCCAGAAGAGGAAGGAGAGCTTCCAATACGGGAGTATCGGATATTTTAGGATTATTCGGATCAGAACAATCTCCTGAGCCGATTTCTAGAAGTAGAAAGCCAAATTTAGACGCTTTTGCAACTAGGGAAGGCAGAAAAAATACTGGAGAAGGTAGTTTATGTTTATATTTGCAAGATTCTTACTAAAAACTTTGTATTAGATGTTCCAGATTGGTTAGGGGGAAGTACCACGTCAGCTACAAGATCAGACACGACGATTCAGTCCCAAACACCCGAAATTACTCGAGAAGATCAGCAAAAAGTCCAAAAAAACGTCGATATTAAAGATTCTACTGAAACTAAGACTAATGCAGATGATTCTTTTCGAAGGAATATTGAAAAAAACACTGATAATACAGTCCAGACTTCAGAAAATTTCCAAACAAACATTTCCAACTTGCAAACTCAAGAATCGTTTTTGCTGGTTTCTCTGCAACTGAAGCAGTACGAGCAAAGTTTAACAGACATCAAACAGCAACAAGAACAGATCCTAAAGAAGCAAGAGAACCAATTTGACTTATTTTTGAACAAATATATCGAGAAACAGAAGAATATCGAACAGGAAATGCTGGCTCAGCAAGAAAGGATCAATCAGAACATTAGGACGTTGGCGTTGGGTGGTATTGATGCAGGGAGAAGAAATTTTAAAGAATCGGGGTACGCAAGTGATGACATTGAAGATCCCGATGACGCAAACGATAAGGTAGTGTCAAAGATCGTGGAAAATATGAAACAAAGACACCAAGAGGAATTCTTTTTGATGGAAGAGTCCTATAAGTAAGTCAAATATCAAATTATCTTCTTGGGTACCATTGTAAAATAATTGATTTTATAGAAAACAAATAACAATGCTTGAAAAGTCTTCGGAACTGGTCGAGCAACGCCTCCAGAAAGAAACGGAAGTCATTACTAAGATCTACGAAGACAAACTAGCCAACATGAAGGTCCAGCATGCTGAAGAACTCGATCACTGGACTGAAAAACTCAAGAGTCTGGAACAAAAGCATCGGGATGAACTGGAAGCAGCTCGTGAAGATTATTCCAGGTATAGAGACAAGTTGTTATTTGACGATTCCTTATATTACCTACAACTGTTATTTATAAATAAGAATTCGCAACATTTGTTAGTGTCTAAAAATAACAGTTATGGAAATAAACTGGTTATTATTATATGCTCATACTATACGCAATCAACAAACAGAGACCTGTTATTTTCAACCGTAATCTTTAAATAACAGTTCCAATTGTTATTTATTTAGAAATACTAGTCTTGTCCATCTCTGATAATTCCAGGTTTCAGAAGAGATTTTATTCAACGGTCTTTTATTTCACAACTGTTATTTGTAAATAACAGTTTGCAACACTTGTTACTGTCAGAAAATAACAGTTACGGAAATAAAACCATTTCTTTCTATTTGGGATTTTGGCTGTAATAATATAAACAACAATAAACAACACAAACCTATTGTTTTAAACTGTTATCTTTAAATAACAGTTTCAATTGTTATTGAAAAGGAATAGTCTTGTTTACCTCTAATAATTCCAAAGTTATTTAACGATCTCTTGTTTATTACTGTCCAAAAAGTGTTTATTTTTTATATGCTCACTCCTTTTTGGGATTTTGACTGTAAGAATATACACAATCAACCACAAAAACCTGTTATTTTAAACTGTTATCTTTAAATAAAAGTTTATTTAGAAATAATAATTTTGTCCATCTCTAATAATTCCAGATTTCTTCGTGAAGCTAAGCAGGATTTTTTGGATCAAATTGAACGGTTTAAAGAACAGAAACATAGAGAAATGGATCTGATGGCTGACGGTGTTGAGATCAGCCAAAGAATAACCAAGAGTGCTGACAAATTAGATCAAAATGGAGTGATTTTGGAGAAACTTCAAGAAAAAGTGATCAGTGACTATGATGTGCTGAGTGTGGTTAGAGAAAGGTCCATTGAGAATAAAGAAAGAGAAGTTGCTAGTAAGATTTTATTGTTTATTATTTTTAATAACTTTTTTTAACATGTAGTGTACAGGGTGTCCCAACATTATTCCAAATTACCCACTTTTCCCCTACTAGTTTCGTTCTTATTTCAGCTATGAGGTTGTCTCTGGAAAAATGCCGAGAACAGGCTGAAAAAGACCGATCCCAACTATTGGCTCTGGTTCGTACGTTGGAGCAGAAGATTTCCGAACAGGACCACAACGCTCAGGAGGAGAGATGGGCCATGCAACAAGCGGCGGCAACGTTGGCAGCTAGAGCAGTTGCTTTCGACAGGGAGGTCGAATTCAGCCGGACATCCATAGAAAGGGAAAGGGAACAACTTAAGGTAACTCCAGAAGGGCTTGATATTTACATATTTATAAAGCCAAGAAAGTAATAATAACAAGTGACGCTTTCTGTCACCTGTTAGATTAGATTTTTAAGGTGGCTATTCGCATGTTCCACTGCGGCATGTTCAGATCTATTGTGATCCTCTTCTGATCTCTAGGTTACATTTTTACTCCCAATAAAAAAAATATGGTATACTATTTTTGACTGTTTCTTTGCAGACGCTTAAAGAATCCATTCTGGCGGAACAGGCCCGCGTCACTGCGCAGCTCACCGAGGAAAAGCTGCGCATCGACTCAGAACAGACGCGACTAAAGGTCTCCGCCTCTTTGGTCACCGATTACGAGGTGCAAAAAGTGAAAAACGAGGCCGAAACGGCCATTCAAGTGGCCAAAGAGCTGACGGAGCAGCTAACCAGGGAAAGAAACCTGGTCCAGCGGCAGAAGGTGGATTTGGAGAATTTCAGGAGAAGGTTGGTGGAAAAGGAGGTGGAGTTGACGGAACGGGAGGAGGAAATGGAGGAGGTGAGGAGGGAGATGCGCCAGAAGATAGTGGAGGATAGGAGAATTAGTCAGGAAGCTAGGGTATTGGAAGCCAGGTAATTCTGCTTTAGCTGATGTAATCTTATTTATTTAACATCATTTAACATTATTTTTTTTTATTTAATTAACATTTGAAATTGTCTGAACTAGGGTTTCACGAGATTCTCGAAATTCGAGATTTCTCGTCTCGTCTCGTCTCGATTTCGAGACGAGATCGAGAAATTTTTTCGAGATTTCTCGATCTCGAAAAGCTTTAGATGCTGCAATAACTCAACAGCTCATAAAAGTCTAGAAAAATGGAAATAAAAAACTATGTTGGGAAATATTTTCTCATACAATGCAAATTTGCATTTCTTTATTTACAATTATTACAAATAATCAAAAGGTAACTTCCCCAAAACTGTTCGATCCGTCGTTCTTTTCAGAATAAAGAAATGCCGTAAATATAATATATTCTTGTTCTTATGGCACCATTTTTGTATAAATTACTCTATCAACTCCTATTGAGTTAAACGAATTCAAGTAATGTCGAAGAAAAAAAGGTTTTCAATAAAAGACTGTTTCAAGTAAACAAAAATCAATTTGTTGCACAACGAAGTAAAAATTTTAAACTTTCGTAGGTAGCTAGGTAAATTTTAAACCCATATGGATAAAAGACTAAATCAAAAAATAAAGGAATCTTTCTCGTCTCGATGATCGAGACGAGACGAGAAATTGTCTTCGAGACGAGATTTCTCGCCCGGTTAAAGTTTTTTTTCACTTATTTTTTACTACCTGCATCAGCGTTAGGTACATCACACAAACCTCGTGTACCTGAGTATTTTATAGTTTCAATAACTGCACTAGCAAAACGATATGATGACAAAGCCACGATTTCAATATTATTTTAATGCTATCAACATGAACTGTAACCGGGACGGCGCCGGCGTGAAATACATAGTAAAAAGTTCTGATTTCTGCGGTATATAGCGCTGCGGTTGGAATTTTTTGAAATCAACTAAAATGCACCAAGTCTATATTGTCTATTATTTTCAGAGGTTCTACTAAGATTCTACTTAACTCTTTCTTATTCTAAATAACTCTTTCTAGATACAAAGAAAAATTATCTGAGCTTCAGGAACAGACGCTGTCTCTGTCTGGCAGAGAGAAGAAACTGGCAGAAGAAAAGATCCAGATATCCAAGGAAAGGCTAGCTTTGTACACATCGATCAAGGAAAAAGCCAACACCAAAAAATGCGTGCTGTGCAAGACTGAAGACGAGGATCATAGCAAAAACGAACTGTTTTACGTAACTCATCCTGTAAGTATATCCCGTGTAAAGGTCCCCATACACTACGGTTAAATTTACTCTGAAAGGTATTGTGACTGGGAAAAAATAGAATTTGATTGGCCTGTAATTTCTATTTTTATTTGTATTTTCCCTTACGGCAATTTTATTTTATGCTACATTTTTATCTTAGTTATAAACAAAGACAATAATAAAAAGGTCTATACCTACTATATGGCGGATTCATCTCTCCAAAAATTCCTATATATGGGTATTTCGCCACTGCAAAAAAATAAAAATAAATTCGAATTAAAGAACATAAAGATTAGGGAATGCAATCCCGCAAATGCTGGATCTCTCTGAGATTCCACGGGATCAAAGTGGTGGGATTTACCGTGCGGGATCCGCGGGATCGACACATTACTACTGGGTAACCGAATCGATCTCGATTAAGTTCAAACCCATTCAAACCTCTTCGTTCCGGACCAATGCGTCGACGTTCGGAACCCGGAGGATTCCCCTTACGGCTTTTTTTACCACACTGCAATTTAACATTTGTATAAGCAAATTTAAATATTTCGAAAACTATTAATTTTAGGTATATAACATTATATATAAAAAAGTTATAGAGTTTTACGCAGAATCTAAAAATAAAATAAAAAATAGGGTGTTGCATTTAAAAAAACATATGTTATATCCGCCACATATTTTTGAAGCACCCTGTATACTCTATAACAATTTTAAAATGTGTATCTTAACCTTCCCTATAACTTTTGTATTTAACATTTTTTTGTAAACCTTGAAACAAATGAGATAATGGACTTGACTCTATCGTTGACTCACCCTGTACAGCTAGTTTAAGATACACGCTATATCAATATATTGTGGAATATTTAGGACCAAAAAGGGTATGACTATTGTTTACAGTCCCGCAATTTTGAGGATTCCGCGGGATTGATTGATTTAATCCCGCGGGTTTGCGGGATTGAGATTTTGGTGCGGGATTGCATCCCCTAATAAAGATTATTTAAGAAAGGGAGATTTTCACAAATCTAAGATTTGTCAGCATTCATGGGACACAGGGCACCGAATAAATTTTAATAACGCCAAAATTATAATGAAAGAAGCGATAACCTCTAAAAGAAAACATACATACATTTATTTTTATTAGATTGTATTAACAAAGCCTCCTTTAAAATAAAGGAGGCTTTGTTAATACAATCTAATAAAAATAAATGTATTGCTCATGCATCTGTAGATGTTAGTAATGTATGGCAATCGCTTCTTTGATATAACACATAACACAAATAAACATAACATACGTAAAAATTAAAAATAATCATACAGAAAGTTTGGGGCTTTTTGGTTTTACCTTATTAAGTAATTGTTATCAGGTAGTAATTGTTAATTTTGAAGTTTAACTTGATTTAATGACATTTTAACAGAACGTCAACGGTTTTTGTAGACGTATCTGTTTTAAAAAAAGTGTTCTCGAATAGTTGAATTTAAGTATTTTAAATAGTTTTTCTTTATTCTTTGTATTTTTTTTTGCTTCCGACGACGGAAAGAGATAAACTTTCCGAAACGTTGAGCATTTTTTTGTTCGTTAGGCAAATTTGTATATCTGTAAACCTAACTTCTGACAAGTATATAGTTTCCGTTTGGGTTAACGCAACAGTGTTTACAAAAAATAACTATTTTATTTTGTAGATTTTCTTGCAGTGGCGATATACCCATAAAGGATTTTTTGGAGAAAATATAATAATACCTCTTTGATTATAAATTACATCCTGGGAGGGGTAATTACCCCCATTACAACTCCAGTAGATACGTCATTGTAATTACAAATTATCTAATAATAATAATAGCTCCCGTATATAGCGTTCAACGCCTTGGTACAGCTACAGCCTTGGTACAGCTGCAAGGTACAGCTTGCCATACTAGAGCCGTTCGGTATACAAGGAAGGTAATGTGGCTAGCACTACGCTTCAACCGCCCATTATTACCTCAGGATTGTGAATCCCAAGTACTCATTTAAGGCTGAGTCGACCTAGGTACCCAAACTATTTTTATTTTAATAAAAATAGTCGGCTGATGCAATACCGGGTGTGGGATTCGAATCCACTACCTTCAGATTGGTAGACGAGAGCCTGTACCTCTACGCGACCGGGCACCTACAAATTACCTACTAATCAATTTTTTTTTATAAACCTTTTAGGCATCCGATACAGAAATCTTGAGACTGAAAATGGAAGCTATGGATGACGAAAGAAACAGTGAAGTCAGTAGAGAAGATAACAGCCCGAATATTTTACCTAGTTCTTAGTTCATACTCACTAATCATTTTTGGTCTGTTTCGTTTAATACTAATCCAATTAAAAATTATTTTTATAATAAATGCTTTTTGCGTATAATTGTTTCTAATGTTTTATTTATAAATCTAAAAAATCCAAAGTGCCAAAGTTTTTAATAACTATAATTAATTATCTCACACTAATTAGGTAAGTATATTTTTTTAAGAATTTTTAGACATGATTCAGTGTTTTTTAAACAATGACTCACCAATGAGGAAAATGCATGTTTTTAAATAATCGTTTTAAAAAATAGTTTATATAATTACAAATTGAACAAAAAAAATCGTTGATATCGATTAAGAAATGCCTCTAATATAAAATAATTAAATATTGGTAATTTAAATGGCCGGGCAAACGCTCTCTACCGCGCCTTGCCGCTGTGACGTCACCCGCCGTTCTTCTGGTTGAGTGGAGCCAGACGCGTGTTTATTTTACACAGTTTGCTTTTAAACGCTATTGAATCCGAGTCAAAATTTTAGTTATTTGTGTTAATTAATACATAATTAGTAATTAGTGATATTTATAAATAGTAATGGATGAGCGAAAACAGAAAAAAAATGGTCCAAGGCCATGAGAAGAGATGAAAAGAAAAACGTTAAATTATCCTCTATTTTTACGATTTATTGTTGTGAAGATCATTTTGATGTAAGTTCATATATTTATGTATATTGTCTTACATAGGTATATGAAATTTGAATGTGTGTGTACAGGGTTATTCATTATATTTTGACACCCACATACAGCCTTAAATGCAAGTTTTAGAAGAAAACATTAAATAAAAAAGTTGCATGGTTTTTACCTATACTCTCTTTTAAAATTAATTCTAGTTATACAGGGTGTCTCAAAAAAGGTGGTCCAGAAAATTGTAGGTATTTTTCGCTTTTCAACTGTCAATATTTCGTAAACATTTGAAGATAGGTATAGGATATTATACATGAAATATATCTAGAATATCTAGAAATTTCCGAAGAATCTAAAAATATATAGGGTGTTTCACTTAAAAAAGTAACTTAATTTTGGCGTTTGCTTATGGGACACCTTGTATAATATTTTCATTACTGATACACAATTTATTTCCTATAATTTCGTAAAAAAAACAATCTTTAAAAATAACAAGGATAAGGGGGTGTCAATATATAAAAAAATTTTCTTTTTCACGCTATGCTCTGGAGTTATTTTTCCACGTACTAAAGAAATATTTTTGTCTCTTTTCACTTCTACATAACCTACAGCATTATCTCCATACGTCTCCCTACCTGATCTGACAAATAAGTTTATAACATTAAAATTTATAACTATATAAAAGTTCGTAACAGTAGGTACCTACTTATACTTAAATATGCCTCAGTACTACAAAGAATAAATGTTACATACCTCTCTGTTTTTTGTCTCTGTCCTCGAATTCAGCACCAATAAATTGGGAATTTGTATTTATAAAAGCAGCCAATATAAAAGCATCGACTTTTGGCAAGTTATCTGATTGTGCTTTTACAAACCCGGAATCTGCCATTACTTAAAAAATTCTCAGAACACACAACACATACAAATAATAACTGCACAAAAAAGCATAAAAAGCTCCTTCAATCAACGCTAAAAGCAACAAAAATGTCTGAGTACGCCACCTAAATACGTACATAAACGGAACACGTCTGGCTGCTGCTGAGAACGGCGGGTGACGTCAGACCAATAGAATATCGTTTCAATTCGCGAGGCGTCGTTTGCGTTATCCATAGTATTTTAATAGCCCGTTTTATAAAATTGTGGTACTGCTTTCAAGAAAAAAGTTTTTTTTTGCATTTACACATATTTATTCTAATAAATTGAACAGTTTCTGCTTGCATGTCATTCATTTTGACACTTTAGTATTGTATTACGAGTTTTTGGTTTAAATAAATAGTGTTGTGATTAAGCTTTAAAATGTTTACTAGCAGACCTTGCAGTCGAACATTGTTCTTTTTAGAACATTTTTTAGTGCAAAGTGTACAAGATAGCTTAATAGCCGCAAAATGTTTCGGTACAATTGTACTGAATTCGGTACATCTTGACCAAATTCGGTACGTCATGCGTCAGTACAACATTTTGGAAAAATGGTCATTTTCGGTACGAAATTTCTAACAGTATAAATGCAACTAGTAAACTGCTTCAGAATGAGAAACTCGACATCATTGAGTCCACAAAAGCTCTAAAAGCTATCGACGGCTATTTTGTCAAAATAAGGACTGACGACCATTTTAGAGAAATATTAGTGGATGCTGCAGAGCTGGCAGAATTAGCTGGAAATTGAAGCAGTTTTTACTAATGACATTAGAGCTCGTCCCAGAAAAAAAAAATAGACAGTTTTTGTATGAATCAGTGGATGAGCCAATTTTAGATCCGCAGGAAAAGTTTAAAATCGATTTTTTCTTTGTTGTCCTGGAAACAATCCATGAGGCTCTCCAGGAAGAGCGCTTGCACACACACCGGCAAAATCGGTGCCGGAGTCGGCGCCGGCTTTGCACCCGTTCCGACAGTTGTATTTAAGTCTATTGTATTTGCCGGGCCCCGATTATTTTACCGGATCGGAGTTTATGTGAAGGAGCTAATTTATTTATATTGCAATCGGCTTCAGCTCCGGCACCGGCACCGATTTTGCCGGCGTGTGTGAAAGCGCGCGAAAGGTTGTTAAAAGCTCACTCGGACTATTTTTCGTTTTTATACGACATCACAGTTCTCAGGAATATCAACGAGAGGAAATAACAAATAAGCATTGTATGGATGCTCATCTCTATTTAACGGACGGAGACAAACATGATATTAATGACCTAGAGCTTCGGGACGAGATATTAGCTCTAATTGCTCTAACACCACCAGATAATGCCGAAAACTACAGTTGTCCAAAACAAACACTAAAATATTTAAAAATTCCCGATCTGATTGGAAACTTTCGAAATACTTACATCTCCATAAGAATCTTATTAACGCTGTCGGTTTCAGTGGCAACCGGAGAGAGAAGTTTTTCTAAACTCAAAATAATTGAGAATTACCTGAGATCAAGTATGACACAAGAACGATTAAGCGGATTATCTTTAATATCTATTGAGCACGAAATAGCGAACAGTCTAAACATGGACAATTTTATTTCAGACTTTGCCAAAAAAATAGCAAGAAAAAAGTTTTAGTTTTGTCCATGTTAGGAATTTTGTTTCTCAGGATTATGTCTATGTATTTATTACGAATTTTGTTTTGTTAATAATTTATAATCATTTATATTACCTAGTTTTAGATGTTAGTTTGGCTAATGTACCTTGTAATGTGTTTTTTTTTTATTCTTGTTAGGTACCATGCGATGCTCCTTTTAAATACAAAATTTAAATGCTAATTCTGAAAATCTTGCAATATTTATTTCGATACATATTCGTAAAAAAAATAGTCTGTAGGGGGGTTCGGGCTTGCTCCAGGCGGCCAACTAGGCCGCCTAGTTGGCTTAAACTAGGCCAACTAGTCTAAGTACGGCCCTGATGTGCCAAGGCGGTCAAGACAGTTGGGACTCAAATAAAAATTATTTTTTTTTTAATATTAAATGTTTTATTTAACAATCTTACCATAGATGTTTACATCGATTAGAAAATCATAAGTATGACAAAAGCAAAAGTAAGAAATTCGAATACGTTTGAAGCTTTCATTCTTCCATCTCTAATAATTTCGTCAAAAGATATACAAGACCCAATATACAGGGTGTCCGAAAATATCATGCATCTATCTACCCTTCTAGAGTAAGTTTGACAATATTTAAGGAAAAAAACAATTAGCTGATGAGATGTGTTAAATCAAGTTAACTTTGATTTGAGTGGTATTTTCAGACACCCTGTATTTATACAGACTGACCCAAGATTTTTCTTTCAAATTCCCACTTTAAATCTTAAATTGTCTTCTTAAAAAAGGTTCTAAAGTGCTACTAACAATATTGGCCACCCTGTACAACGGAAAACAAAACTGAAGCATGGACATTCCACACGATATTGCTCTTTTTTCACTTAAGACAAAATTTCCTTCTTAAGTACATCCTAGATAACACGATTGTAGCGGTATTTCAGATTTAATATACAGGATGTCTCACTTTTTTCGAAAAAAATATAGGAAAAAAGTCTACAGTTCTATTGACCGTACAGTTTTGGTAGAAAAAACTTGGGACACCCTGTATAAATAGCGAATGACAACGAAATCATTGTGTAAACTGTGATTTGATTGTCTTTAATCTAATATTAATAAAACTTTTTCCAGAATATTATTTTGAACCATATAGTTTCAAATTTTTGATAAAATACAATCAAATGACGGTTTATGCAATAATTTCGATATCACCCCGTATAGACCACATACGAGGATTATTCTTGTGAATTTTTAATTATTAATATATGTATACAATATAAAAAAGCTTCAAAACTATATACAAGGCGAGTCTTAAATAAGTGCACCAGTAGTGGTACTCAAATCTTTATAAAAAAAGTATATTATGTAATTATGTAACGCATGATCGAAAAAAAAACGGCGTCCAGTTGGCTGGGAAATGACGATCGATGACATTTCCCATATAAATTTACATATAAAATAACACAGATATTCATTTCATAGCCATCGTTGACGCCGTTTTTTTTTTCGATCATACGGTATTTTTGCAAAAAAGTGGTGACCACCATATTAGAATTTAGGTCTACAGAGGAGATCAGTAAGTAATAATGTTGGTCATATAGGTAGCGACAACTTTAAATGTTTGTGTTTTGCTTTCAGCCTCAGACAAACCTGCAGCTCCAAAAATTTTTCTAAAATATACAGATTTTTTTAACCTTATTTAAGAATCATCCTGTATATATAGGCGGTTGGAAAGATTTCTCTGTTAGGAACAGAGAGCGGTTTCTTTTAGTTAGAACATCAACTACGAAACTGAACAGATATAAACTATTAGAAACAGCTTAAAAACACAAAACATTTCGCACTAACTCCTAAAAAAATAGATATTTTTTCATATACGGATTTCGAAAAAAAAACTCTAAGAAAATAACTGGCACATCGATATATTCCTAAATTGAGTATAATTAAAAAACAGTTTAAAAAAATTATCGTGTTTATTTTTTTAGTACTCACAACCCTCATTTATCTATTGACCCCCAAGTTGTTTGTGCTAGTTGGTATTTATACAGTGACCGTCAAAAAGTTGACAACAAATGGGAAAAAAATCCTGAACAATCGAGAAAAAGAAATCGGTGTCGTAGTAATCCGCAAAAAGAAAATCGACGGTAATTTCCATAGAGGTTAAAATAATTTTATTTTCACTCAAAAGTTTTTTAAAATTTCTCGGATTTGTTGATATAAAAAAAACATCAAAAATTAATATTTAAAAAACTATTCAGGAAAAAAAACATCGCAAAATAGATTTGAATTTACTACTTTTATATATATCTTTTTTAATTATTTTTTTTACAAACTTCAATTTCAATTTTAATAAATGATAGATGTTTCATAATGATCTAAGTCATGATAGTTGACAAATACAATATATGGCAATGACAACTATTTTTTGGCTAGTGAGCATGCCAAATTGATTCTTTTTCTTTTGACAAAAATGATCCCATTTATTGCAAACTTTTTATGATCATGTTCCTAAAAAAATCACCCATTTAAATTACTATAAGGGGCGTTTTATTTTGGAAGAGAGTTATAAAAAAAAATCTTTCTTTTATATATTTTCTGAGGTGATGAATACCTGAACAAAGTACAGGGTGTCCCACTAAGAATAGCTCTTGGCTGTATCTGGGAAAGCATTAGCCGTAGCGGCTGCAGAAAAAAATATTTGTAATTAAAGAGGCTATGGGAAATGGTTCTAACAAAAAAAATCCAAAATTTACTGAAGATTATGAAGCTATTATTTATAGTACCCATTATCTAGGCAAAATTCTGTAAAAAATCTATTTTCTTATTTTCCATAGCAGTTGCGTCACCTAGCGGCCGTTTTACAAACTTGAAAATAATTTCCAGCAATTTCTCATAGCCTCTTTAGTTATAAATATTTTTTTCCGTAAGCCCTACGGTTAATACTTTCCGAGATACAGCCGAGAGCTATTCTTAGTGGGACACCCGGTACATAAATAAAACTCCCCATATAGCTTCTCAAAATAGTCTCAAAATACACATATTAACGTAAACAAAATAAAGCTTAAGCGATATATTGATTAAACTAAAAACTATTGATCTGACAAACCTAAAAACTAACTATTAAAAAACTTAGCAGTCTAACGAAACTTGGTAACATAAAAATCAACATTTATTTAAAAAAAACGCAGAATTTTTTTCTAAACTGAAACTTGACTGGTTCGAGAATTCAGGGGTACCAGGGAAAATTAACAAAATTCTCTAATGATTTTATGACATGTACAGGGTGGGTCAAATTCGACGCTTTTAACGGGAAACACCCTTTTCTATAAAAGATAGAGGAAACCTAATATTAGTGTCTGGAGCTCAATTTCTGTCAAAAACATGATGGTGAAAACCACACATCGAAATCTGTTACCGTTTCGGAGTTACGGGGTGTTTTTCAAACATGTGCATTTTTAACAAATCGATGTAACTTTTTGCTATGGAAAATTTTGTAATTTTATGAAACCATTTCCAAAGCACCATTTTCCGTAGAATTTAATGGTTTAAGTATAATTTTTTTTAAATTAATAATTTAAGAGTTATCACCAGAAAAATTGATTTTTTATTTGGGACACCCTGTATATTTTTAATTAAATGAAGAGAACTTAAAATTACCTTTCCAAAAATATAGCGCACCTGATATTTTGTTATACTTCCATTCGAAATACAGAATTTTTAGCGAACTAGTAGGATCTGGACCCCTTATTAATGATCTGCCACTAATGGAACTTGAAAACATATTTTCCGAGCAAGACGAGGCACCGCCTCAGAACGCTGAAATTATCAGCAAACTTTTGCGGCCAATTTCGAGAATAATTGAATAGCTAACCAAGATTCCAGCCGTTGGCCGCCGAGGCCGCCAGGCTTAGTGCTTGTTATCCTTAGTGGATTTTTATCTTTGCGGAAGAATAAAGGTTCTTATTTTTAAATTGCCCGAATAATCTAGACAAGAATTAAAAGTGCTTAGCGGTTATGCGGGGATATCTTTCACCCTCACTGAGTTAATGAATTCCGCGAGAAATGTTCAAAAACGGTCCCGTCTGTCCATAACAGAAAACGGTCGAACACCTGTAGCAAAATCTCGTGGTTTGCTATTAATTTTTATTGTTATAAGATAGAGTTTAAATGTGTTGATGTTAAATATAGTTTAAATTGTTATAAAATTGTGCATCCCTCACTGCAAATATTATTTTCGTTTTAATTGATGCTCACAGATTTTTTTGCATTACAGCCGGCGCTTTCAAAGTGGGCGATTTTTCAAATACCTCGAAGAGAAATCGAGAAAAAGTATGCTATATTTTATAAGGTAATTTTAAATTATTTTCAGTGAATTAAATACAGGGTGTCCCAAATAAAAAATCAATTTTTCTGCTGATAACTCTTAAATTATTAATTTAAAAAAAAATATACTTACACCATTAGATTGTACGTAAAAAGGTGCTTTGGAAATGTTTTCACAAAAATACAAAATTTTCCATAGCAAAAAAGTTATAGCTGTTTGTTAAAAATGCACATTTTTGAAAAACACCCCGTAACTCCGAAACGGTAACAGATATTGATGTGCAGTTTGGCACTAATATTAGTTTTAATCTATCTCCTTTAGAAAAGGATGTTTCCATTTAAAAGCGTCGAATTTGACCCACCCTGTACAGAGTGTACCAAATTGGAACTTCATCATTTGGATTTTTTTAGTTTGTATATGACAAAAAGTTGCGATTTTATGACAACCGGGACCCCTGTTCTGACTTACATCCAGTATAATCCATTTCTCTTTTTTCGATTCTCTCTTAATCATACATATGATCACAGTCATCTACTGAATATGGTTCTACACAGTCAACTTGTTATCAATTTTTTTTAATTATAATCACACAACAGAAAATTTCCTCTTTTTTTTTGTTTAACGGAATATTTAGTTCAAAATTGTTTTTGCAAAGTCCATCCTTTACGTAATATTTATAAAAGAATTCTAAAATTTCTGTACAGGGTGAATCAAATGATAAACTTCATTATTTCGTTTGTTTTAACATTCATACATTCTCTGTCAATAGATTAACTTTTGCGACTTATTGGGAACCGGTGTTTCAATGTATTAAAAAATTTATGAACTTTATCAAAACGACTCATCCTGTACTAAAACATCGAATTTACTGAAGAAAAAACTTGTTATTTGTTATAATAAATAAATAATATATAGCACTTAATGAGCATTGGTTTCTGTATATAGAGCTGTGTCTTTTTTCTTATCGTTTAAACAAAAAACAAAACTCTTTTAAAACGTTGAACACTTTCGACTTTTTTTAGAACACACGCCAAAAATATTCAACGCTTTTCACAGAATACCTTAATTATATAGAAGCGACAGCAAGCGTCTGTTTCTTTGAAGTAAGCGACCTCTATATTGTGACCTTGAAGTTACACATATTTTGCCAATTTCTAGAATTTGATGAAAGAAGTAAGAAACTTTTAAATACATTGATAAGAATGACTCCTTTATATAGCTGTGTCACACTAGTCAACTCGCATACTCAATAGTGTTGCTGTTTGTTTTCCCTTAATTTCATAATTTTCAATTGTCAGCTAAATTAGAGACGTTTATTTTTACGGTTTATTTCAAAGTTTGATTGTTATTTGGTTTATTTTGTTAGAACTAGAGATAAAGTAAGAATTAGTGAAATGAATACCAAGTTTTGTGCGTTTTAGTGTAGGTTGTTTATTTTATAATCTAATATTTACTAGAGATTTAAAATTTGTTTAAACATTAAATTTAAATATTTTTATTTATGAAAATATATGATACTTCAGGTAAAAAATGTAAAAAAAACTCAGAGTATAAGGAATTACATTTACCTTCCTTCCCAATTATTTAGACATAAATGCTGACTTCTAACTACACAAAATAATAAAAGACCAAATATTTAACGGAAAAACATAAGCTGTTCAGATTAATTATTTTTTTACTTTTTAATAAAATATTTTTGCGTGTAAAAAAATAGTTTTTTTACATTACAGCTTGTTACACTTACATCCCTAATATCAACCATCAACGGCATCAACTAATCAAAATTTGACAACCGACGTCACTAAAATTATAACTTATAACCATAGATAAAGGAAATAAATATAGATTGGAATGCCCGTCAAAATGTTGGGTCGCGAAATTGTTTTAGCTCGCGACCGTTGTACGCGATCTGGCGCTGCTATAGCGGTTGCTAAGAACAACCGCAAACAAAAACAGAAATAATTTTCTCTTGTCCATATCTCTTGTCAAAATCAGAATCTTCAAAAATTATAAAATCTTTCAAAATCTAAACCGCTCTCATTGAAATAATGCCGAAAAATGTTTAAAGCGTCCATTTTCAAAGTAATTATTGCTATCTTGTGAGTTTAATTTAAGTTTTATTTACCCAAACCCGTGATAATTGTGAAAAAGTGGCATTAAAAACTTAAAAAGTTGTGTGAACTGTGAACTGCAAAAACCATCGTGGATCGTTGCATAACGTCGGTTTGCCAATGTTTCATATATATTTCATACATGTCCTATAAAATAAAGTTTCTTGTATGCAACACACTGTATTTTATTTATAAAATTAAAATAAAATAATAATAAATGCGAATAAATAATATTTGGCGATATAATTCCGGAAAAAGCCAAATCGCTCCGAAATTATCAAAAGCTTTGGGTCGCGACCGTTGCAAGAATAGCACCAAATAGTGTTTACATTGTCCTTATGGGCACTTTCCAATCTAAACTTGTTTCATTTATCTATGATTATAACTTATAACCTCAAAATACGACAAACAAACTCGCTTAAAATTTAGTCCATGGAAAAATTAATCATCACCCGTGTGTCGCTTCTATACAAATAAGGTCATTCTGCGGCTTCTTTTACTCTAAAAATAATAATAATTAAAAAATGTTAGTCTAGTTATTACAGCAGGATTTCGTAGAGCTGGACTGCTGTCTCCGGTCCACCATGACTTTGTCCATGTTGTCGCCGGGCTCGCGCCCCGCCGTCTTGTCCAAAATGGCCTCCGCCAGCTCCCTAAAGGCCCTTTCGATATTTATGTTGGCCTTGGCCGACGTCTCCATGAACCGTATGCTGTGCTCGCGAGCAATCGTCTCGCCCCGGTCTTTACTCACCGTCCGCTTGTCGTCCATGTCGCACTTGTTGCCTAAGATCATTTTTTCCACGTCCTCGTTGGCGTGCTGTAATCAAAACGACTTATAAACAATGTACACTTGGTACAATTGGAAAAAACAGCGTCAAAGACGGCTGGGAAATGACAATCGATGGTAATTTTGGTGAAGTCAAGTCCTAGACGTCATATACTTGCATATACTGGGTGCTACAAAGGTACTCGAGGTACGAGCATTGGTATCTCGGTAACCGTAATAGATACGAACATAGTTAAATTGGGACAAAGTTGCCGCCTTGGTATGTTCAGCAAGATACCATCAAAAAAGTTTTAAAAATTTCAAGAATTACTGAGTTTTTTGAAAAAAAAAACAATTTTTTTGAAGATCGATTTTATTTGACGTCATTTGTAAAAGTGAAATCAATACACCTCAAAATTTACAACAAAGAGTACAAAATGCATTCGGAAATATAAGAGGATCTGTTGAAAGGACATAAAATTGAACGAAAAATAAATTTGTGCAATAGGGAGGGTGGTAACTCTTTCGAACACGTAGAGCGTTAGATAGCCCTGATAAAGTGGCTATGAGAATGTGCAATTAGTTTTTGATTTTCTAAAAAGTAACGATAGGGAAAAATAAAATCGATTTTCAAAAAAGGTCCGTTTTTCTCAAAAAACTCAGCAATCCTTGAAATTTTTGAAAATTTTTTGATATCATGTTGGCGAACATCCCAAGGCGCAGCTTTGCCCTAATTTAACCATCTTCATATCTATTACGGTTTCCGAGATACCAATGCTCGTACACCGAATTTGTAGCACCCTGTATATACAGGGTGTCCCAGAAATAAATGCAAGTATTTTAACTGGTAGTATAGTTCGACCGCAGAAACATGCCGATGATGTTTTTTGCGAAAAAATAATGCTGTAATTTTTATACTTTTCTTGACATTTTCCTGAAAATATTGAAAAACTTTTGAGTGCCGCTTGTTCACTTTCCGGAAATGTATTTATAGCGCTTCGAGAGAATGCAATGTTGCCACATCCTACGTTTTCCACATTCTGTATGTTTGTAAGTTATAAGTTCACATTTTTAAATTTCTACAAAAAAAATACTTAAATTAATTTTATTCGCTAAGATTTTTTAATTCTTGTAGAGTACTGTTAAGTACTACTTTTTTATGTCTACTATATTAATACTAAGTTTATTAAACTAAATAATGAACAATTATAGCAGCTTTTCAATAGTTCACAATCAGCGCCCTCTATTAGATACGTAAATAGTCAACGTTTGAGCTACATTTAAACAGATCAGCTGATGGCATTTTAGGTTATCCAATTCATTTGAGAGCATAGAATTAAAATAAAATATAGACTGAGCATCGCATTCATAAATAGCTGGAACATGCGGTCAGACAATGTCTTGATATTGTTGTGTTATTGTTTTAGGTTATAACGAGTGCGACACGAGCGATAGATAGGTTGTCTCTGTCGTAAAGGTTGTTCCCTGACGACACTGACGAGAAACGCAACACTGTCTTTCGTTTCTCAAGTACACCTGAACTCTCCGTGTCATAGCCGGGTAATTTTTTTATTTTAATGAACCTATAATTAAATTAAAAATATGTCGTATTTAAACTTTTTTATATTTTATTAAGATTTAGGAGAGGTTTTTTTTAAATAAAAGTTTAGAAAAAACGTCTTAGAGTCCAAAAAGGATAAAAATAATAAAATACATATTAAGTATAGAAGAAATGTTATAATCGAAATTACGTAATTTTTGAAATTATTAAAAAAAATATTAATTTTAGTCAAACATTTACAACCCCTAATATTAATCAAAACAGGATCTATTCTACAGATATAATAGAATCGGCGACAGGGGGAGAAAAAAAAATTATGATTGTTGTAATTTTTTTTTCTGGTTAAGTGATGTCTTATTTATGTAAATTAGAGAAAACATAAATCTGTTCCATTAAAGCAAGGAAGGTGATAGGAAGTGGATAAAATGAAAACTACATTTATTTAACTCGATACTGTCTTTATTATACCGGGTGCGTCCCAAAAGTTGCTCATCCCCATAATTTTTTTTTTCAAATAAAAAAACAAGATTTAGTATGCTAGTATATGACATAAATTAGGATTGATTGACGCATTCAATTGTTTTTGGTCACTCCCTGTTTCACCGGAAATGACTATAACTTTTAATTTTTAAATGGCACCCTCGGTATATTTCTACTTTATTCGATAGAAAATGACACTCTGAATAGAATGACATATCATATGTCAACTTTTGACATTTTCGCATATGGTTTAATTGTAATTATAACACGCGGTTCATAACGACAATTTGACTCGAAATACCAAGTGTTTGGTATCAATATATTCATAAAAAAATGCTTTTTCCAAATATGCTAATGAGTCACCCTTGTTCAATTTGAAAAAATTGACATATGATTAAAAATACGATTTGTACATCTTTTAACGGGCCTAGACAAGACACGACACCCATTAGACGATCAAAACTATTTTTCCAAGGCTCCTTGATTAAAACTTAGTGTTTTTAACAACACCATGGCACCCTGGATTGAAATTTAAAATATGATTTGTTTTTAAGCGACAATGTCAAAAGTTGACATGATATGTCATTCTATTCAGAGTGTCATTTATTATCGAATAAAGTAGCAATATACCGAGGGTGCCTATAAAAATCAAAAGATGTAATCATTTCCGGTGAAACAGACAGAGACCAAAAACAATTGAATACGTCAATCAATCCTAATTTATGTCATATGCCTACTAACATACAAATCTGTTTCTTTATCTGAAAAAATAACAAAGTTATAGGGGTGAGCCACTTTTGAGACGTACCCGGTATATTAAAAAATATTGTTTCATAATGTAATATCATTTTAAAATTCTTGTATGTTATTTTAGATTCTGAAGATAATTTTAGAATAAACCGGAATATATTTTTAATAAAAACATTATTAATTATTAACAAGGTTATACTAATTATGATTTTGTTACAAAAACCTTTATATAAACGATTATGTAAGAGAAAAAAATCAGATTTTACATTTTACTAAAATATTATCTAAATAAGCGCCTTTCTACAACAACGCCACTGACTCCCAATGGGTAAATTGAGAGTTGCCTACCGATCAAAAGTCGTTTCAAGACTTAAATGGATTATTTAAGTCAAATTTCTTGCAAATTTGGCACTGGCGAACCATATTTTATAGTTCTTGAACAGAAAAAGTCAATAAAATAAACACCTAAGCACTACAAGCTAAGAAAATGCGTTAATACAGCCGGGGAGATAGCGGCAACAAAGCTTTACCGCACACGTGCCACACGTACTACAAGGTAATAAATGAATGAATAGGCGACCTCGCCTCTAATCGGTGTTGCCATATTGTAAAGAACTTATCCTTTTCAAATAGTATCCGACTTATAATTTAGTAGTATAAGGACTATTTAATACATCTATGGCATATTAAAACCTACTTTATTAAAATGTAGTATTAATATCTCAATATATGTGTATAATAAGAAAAAAAATATTGATAATATTAAAGACGTGACAACATAGATAGATGAGGAAGGCTCGGTCGACTGTACCCAGAAGTAAACATGTGTACAAAAAAGTTTGTGTGTCCGCGTTTAGATGTAAATAGTGCAGTCTATATTTTATTTTAAGTCTGTTTGAGAGATTTTACTCAAAACAGTAAACCTCCGACAAAACAAAAAAATAGGCAAATGTAAGGTGAACCTGTAAAAATACTTTGAAAAAATTCAAATAGAAATATCAATAATTATTTTGGTGTTTATTCACAAAAACAAAAGTGTGAGCCTAATTACATCGATCTGCTATCTATTGGAGTCCCGTTTTCTAATGTTAGGTAAGTTTTTAGCTTTTAATCTGAAGTGCCAACACTGGGCGTCAAACAAGCTGAGATTCTGGTAATTGCTTGGTATTTGCGGCTGATTATCGAATGCTGTCGGCGGCTCTCAAAATGTTACCAATTCTTTTCAAATTTCTTTTTTTTTTAAGTTAAATAACTCGGTTAGTATCAATTTATTTTAAAAATGGTATTGAAAAAATGATTCTTTTAACCCTTAAAATACTTGCACTTATTTCTTAAATACCCTGTATAATAATAACAAAATAACTATGAAAACGTCAAAGAAAACGACAATTTATATTGAAATGAAATTTTGTGAGCATATGTAGGTTAATTTAGAGCACAAATAAATTATAAAGAGATCAACAGGGTGTCCCAAAAAAGTTACACATCAAAATTGAGTTTTTTGTAACACTTTATATAATATTTGATTTTTGGACTCTATGAAAAAAAGGCGAGTATCATTAGAGAAGCATATGACTAAAATGTAAGGTTTTTGATATATTTAATATTTTCTAAAAATGAAGAAAAAATTTTAAATTTCAATAAAAGCTACCTAAATTGGAATTCATCCAGTATAAGGTAACTACCATTGTGCTTTAAATCAAATTAAAACTTAACCAAAAGTAACCAAGATTTTATCAAATAATAAAGATCTACTAACACTAAATCATAAAAATATCTAGGAAAATCTTTGTTTGAAGGGTAATAACCTTCCTTAATAGTATTTTGAAGAGAGTTCCATACTGGATGTTCCATTTAAAAGTAGAATGGTTATTTTAGCCAGATATTAGGTTATACCAGGTAAATTCCAATTTAGGTAGCTATTATTGAAATTTAAAATTTATTCTTCATAGAAAATGCTGGAAAATGTATGTAAATATGTCAAAAACCTTACATTTTAGTAATATGCTTTACTAATGAAACTCACCTTTATTTTTTTCCTAGAATCCGAAAATCAATTAATATAGGGAATGTTCCATTACAAAAAACGCAACTTTGATGTGTAACTTTTTCTGGGTACACCCTGTAGAACTCTATGTATTTTTAGAATGTGCTCTAAATTAACCTACATATGCTCACAAAATTTCATTTCAATACAAACTGTCGTGCTTCTTGGAGCCTCCGCTTTATATGGGAGGCACCATTGTGTATTCAAATTTGATTCCAAAAAACTTCTACTAAATGCTACTCAACCTCGTCTATATTCCGAAGCCATTTCACTATGTTCTCGAAGCTTTTTTCGTTTGTTATGTCGTAGACCAGCATGATCCCCATCGCTCCTCTGTAGTACGAAGTTGTGATGGTGTGAAACCTTTCCTGTCCAGCCGTATCCCATATCTGTAGTTTAATTTTCTTTCCTCTTAATTCTATGGTCTTAATTTTAAAGTCTATGCCTAAACAGAAAGAGCTTTGTTTAATGTAATGCACGCATCGCGAAACTTGTTTGACTCGCAAATTAGCACGGCGGTTAAAAATAAACTATGAAAAAAAATTAGAATTCGTAAAAAAAACATCGAGTTTCAAGGTTCAACTACTGTTAAACCGACGAATTATTCTTACTATGACAAAACGATAACGAAAAATTATCTTGATCTTACGTAAATTCATAAATAACTCATTTAATTTCTCATCGAAAGGGGTGGAAATATACTTTTTTGCAATGAGACATAACATAAATGGAATCTTACCTATAGTTGATATAAAAGTGGTCGTAAAGGCGTCGTCACTGAACCTGAACAAAATGCAAGTTTTCCCAACACCGGAGTCACCAATTAACAACAATTTAAACAACAAATCGTACGTTTTTTTAGCCATTTTTAATAGATCTTTATAAATATATTTTATTTTTGACTTTGACACTTGAAAGGAAAAAACTTCAACCTTGAAAACCAATGACAGATGACGTGATACTTCATTTTTCTGGACCAGTGCCTTCTATTAAAAGATCAGCCTCCGGGCGAGATTTATGACGTCACGCTAGTTAGATATAACGGATTAATAAATATGTTGTAGAATACATGGAAAACATAATTATTCCTCAGATTTTTGGTTTGTATTTTAAAAATGATATAGTTTACATGAAATATACATAATATACAGTTAATAACTACAACATATATACCTATTTATAGTAATAAATACTTTGGCAAATAAACTATGAACCATACAAATGCAGCAAATGTTTTACAATGTACAAATAATGTATAGGTACATAAGATAATGGGCAAAATGTAAATATATTTTAAATTTTGGGGTTTGAAAATCGATCTAATTTAACAAAAACATTCAGTATCTACTAATAGTGATGTATTATTATTTGCATTCACAAAATTTATATGTATATTTTGCAAGTATCAATGTTCGAAAAATTATATTTACAAATAATACAATATTATCTAAAAAGGCGTCAGCGATGGGTATGAAATGAAGATCGCTGGCATTTAATAAGTAAAATTATTCTAAAATGTTTGATTTTCTTGGGATTTTTAGGTTAGGGAAAACGCTGATTTAAGTTTTCATTTGGGTTTTCATTATATTTTTATTTGGTTTGAAAAAAACGTTTCGGCTAACTATAGCCTTCATCAGTGTTGTATCATATGAGAAAAATAGTGTCGAATATAATCCAAAAAATTACATATACAATATAATTCACACCTCATAATGTTTACTGCAATTAATAAACTAATATAAACTTATCAAAAGATGACCACATATTTTTTTAAAATCATTATTCTTAACACTAAAATTATCTACATTGTCTATGGAGTACACAGTAAACATTATGTGTGCGGTGTGAATATTTTATATGTAATTTTTTGGACTATATTCGACACTATTTTTTTCATATGACACAACACTGATGAAGGCTATAATGTTAGCCGAAACGTTTTTTTTTTAACCAAATAAAAATAATGAAAAACCAAATGAAAACTTAATCAGCGTTTTTCCGGAACCTAAATCCCAAGAAAATCAAAAAATTTAGAATATTTAGAAACAAGGTTCAGGAATATCAAATTTTCCAAGATTGTAAAATTCTAGTTAATTATTTTATGTGTACAGTTATTTAGGGAATGTCATCGATGTTCATTTCCAAGCCAACTAGACGCCGATTTTTTTCGATGATACGGTATAATTCTTACGTAAAATGTATAAACATTAGACCAATTAAAACAAAAAAATATGAATTTCTTAGTAGCTATTTTAGTAACACCTTTATTCTTAAAACTTAATTTTGTATTATGCAAATATACCAATTTTATTGTTATTTTATTCATATTGTATTCAGCCATCACTTAAATATTTGATATTAATTTGGTATTATAAATAATCAACACTATTCATTAAAAATTACTGAACAAAAATGTATGTTATGCTTGACAACTTGACATACATTATATATTATCAAACAAAAACACATTCTTCTTTTAAACTGTATCAGTCTTGTCTTTACAAAAATCTTTTTAAAATTTGAACTCAAAATAATAATCTTTTTTCATGATCTTTAATACACATATTGTTTATTTTTCCCTAGACCATAATACCTACTTACGTGTTTGAATCTATCGAAGCTGAACCAACAACACTTGGAGTGGAGATTCCACAATATGAATAAAATAAACATAATTGTCCAGTTTTCATTAATACCATCATGGGAGAATATTATTTTTAAATTTATTAAAGATATTTTAAATAGAATTCTCTTGATTTATAACTCGTACCCACTTTTCTTGCTCTTCCGGACACTTTAGGCTGCTTAGTATAACTATCCTTTCCACCAGGAACACAACAAAGATGAGGCATAGCACCAAAAACACACTCCACTTAAGCTTTATTGATGAATTGTTAAAGTCTTAAAAAACACATCGTTGTATCACGATGAGTAAAAAATGTATGGGCACTTTTAGGTTAAATCACTTACACAACGTGTACTTTTTCAATTTTTCCATTTTTTTATGCGTAACCGAGAGTGACCATAAATCTGGTAGTAGTTTATGTCACTTAAACACCAAAATAATTATTTTTGCACTACAGTTTTCCCAACACCGGAGTCACCAATTAACAACAATTTAAACAACAAATCGTACGTTTTTTTAGCCATTTTTAATAGATCTTTATAAATATATTTTATTTTTGACTTTGACACTTGAAAGGAAAAAACTTCAACCTTGAAAACCAATGACAGATGACGTGATACTTCATTTTTCTGGACGTACGGTTTCTGTAATCGAAATCGTAAATACAGAAATCACATTTGATTTTAATAAAACTCCTAAATTGACTAGTTTTATGCAATATTCATAAATATTCTGCAGGCATATCATTCCTTATGATAAATATTACCTTGATATTACCTTACTTCCAATCTAAACAAATTAAAATAATAAAAATTGTCTTGTATTGTTGGTTGCTGTGGTTTGGAAAACGGAAACCAGGGAGAAACTGTCATATGTCAATTATGTCATTGTAAAATCGTTTTGTCAACGAAAAATAGAGCGAAACGTTTCTAGAAAAGTGCTCTGAAAGTGTTTTTATTATTGTGCAATATCTGGGAGTGTTAAAGAGTGCATTTACTTGTTAGGTAAGTACTTTCTTGACCTGTTAAATATATTTCTAAAAGTTTTTTTGCAAAAACCACCGACTACCGATGTAGAATATTTGCTAACTGCGCTAAAACCGACAAAATATACATGACGTGTTTCTCGGAATCACTTGTTTATTATTGTGTTCTATATTTAACATATCCTTTACCAGATGGAATTAATGGAATTGCTGAGTCTGTATGGTCTGTATCAGGTATCAGCATATCGCACACTTGATAACTTTAAGTATTCCAGTAAATCTAATCCATTTCATTTCTACTAACGCCTGTATAGGAATTAGTCATTCCTACATCTAGGTAGTTTGCAGATCGTCTCATTTGATAAAGTTGTTATCGTCCAACACGATCGATCATATTTAAGCTAACCTTTTTTTCTTTTCTTTTCAGTGAAGTAAAATAACCAACCAACATGTCCTACGCATATAATCAAGGTAAGCACTGAATTTTTCGTTTTTATTTAAAAAAAATCTTTGGAATATTGTTACCATCCTTGAATTTAATTGATTTAATTTTGCACATACATAGTGGGCGTAAAATACAAAAAATAATCATATGTCAATATACAAAGTAGGGGAATTACAGTTCTGTAAATTATTAGCAATTTAATGTAAACATATACACAGTGGTCAAGTATTTAATAATAGGGCTTACAGTCTATAGAAAAATTTTAAACGTACTATAGGAGAAAACTTAACATCACATACTGTCTAAAATGGTTCTTTTTAGAAATAGGTGCCTGGGAATATGTATATTTATATTTTTATTTTGCACATTGTAGTAATCTTGTAATTACGAAAAAATTATACCTCAATAGTTTATAGTGTTTCTTCACTATTTTTATAAAAAAAACTCAATTTTCTTATGATTAAACGCTTATCATAATGTGATCTGTTTTTTACTTGAATTTATCAGTAATATGTGTGCATTTTGATAACAGTGAACAATGGCAACTGTTAAGACAAGTGGGTTGTATAATATAATAATAGGGAGTATTTTCAGAAAAAGTCTATGATAAGAAGCTTTTTTTATATAAGTATTTTTTTCTAGTAATAATTTGTTTATGTATGTGTGATTCAGAGATTTCATCTTATTGTTGGTTATTAATTATTTTTAAAAATGTTTGCGTGTTTCTACAATGTGGAGACAGAATAATAATTATTTTATCTCTGTTATTTTAATTAATTTAATTTTTCACTTAGATAATGATTTAAATTAATATTGTATGGCTTATTATTGATAAATATAATGAAATATTCAGGTTGAGTTTCCTACGATGTTCTCTATGGGCATCTCGGAAACTACTGGAAATAGAGAGTCAGTTAAATGGGGAAAGAATTGCAGTTTTGTGGGGTCATAAATATGCGCTTTTCAGATTTTTGAAAAAGTTTAGGGCTTACTAGATATTTCGAAGAAAACAAATTTTGCCTATTTTAAAAATGGTCCCTAATTCCATTATAATACATTTTAGACAAAAAGTTTCCAGATAAAAGTTGTAGATAATCACATTCTTAATGAGATTGTGTTCTCCGTTTTTTTCTAAAGCCTGTAATTTTTGCAATATGACACAAACTTATTTTTTTTAAATGGAAACCATAAGGTAAAGCCGCCAGTAATCGACACTATTAGACTGTCTTATGGGATTTTAATGTATTTTTGGGATCCCCAGTAACCGACACTAATTATCCAGTTATCAACACCCCAGTAATCGACATAAAAAAAACATTTAAACAACTTTATTTACATATTTTATTGTCGTCAATCGGTAGGCTACTAAAATGCTAGCTAATATGACTGTATTATACAATCTAATCAGATATAACATATAATAACAAGTGCATTAACAACGGCAGTTTAATTATTACTTTCTACATTTTAATCATTTACATTCAAAAACGTTAACACTTTTTGAAAAACATACTTAAGCCTATCCCCAAAATTCAGAACTTGAGGTTCAGGTAATTTTGTAAAATGTCTTCTTCTTTTATAACCGACACATCATTATCAACCATTTTATAAATCATTTTATTTTCATCAAGGCATTTTAAAGAAGTTACCTCAATCTCGCTTTCATCAAATATGTTTTGTACAACACAAACATATCTATATTGGGTGGTTTTTCGATTTCCCCAAAAAATTTTACTAGCTAAAATCACCAATCTTATAGTCCTTTATTTTGATTTCTTCATCATGTTCTTCATTTTCAGGTGCCCCAATTTCTGAAACATCATCCAAACTGTCACTACTCTCTTGCCACTCCATATCTGTGTCACTTAAGTCAGAAGAAATTCTCCTTCGTTTTTCTGCACGTTTCTTCTGTAACTGAAGTTTTGTATTTTTTTTAGCTTGTCGGATCTTGGCTCTGTTTTCCTTTTCTTCTTGTTTTTTTTGTTTTTCTATTTCTTTTCCCTTATGGTAATCCTGCCAAGCTTGTGAAGTTATGGCTGATGGTATTTTTTTCCTTACTCCTTCGCTTTTTTCAGTTTTTAGCTCTGTTGGCCAAAATAGAGCCTTTTTAAAAGGAGTTGGAACATTTTCCTTAAATTTTGTAAACGGTGTATAAGGAGAACCATTACTACAACCCGGTTTTTCGATTTGGGGTGTTTCGTTTTCTTCTATAACACTTGAGATAGTAGCAGAGTCTTTACTTTAAACTAAGGCTATTTTCTTTAATAGGAGTGTGACTGTTTATTTCTTGTGCCATTAAAGATGTAGAAGGTTTCAGTATTTGGACCGAATGGATTATTACTTTATCCTTTCCAGGTTCTTGTTTTTTGGATTGTTCCTTGGGTCTATCAGCGCCAGCGTTTTGATTTATTTGTGTTTTTAATGTTTTCCATAACATATATAAGGATGTGTCCTCAGTGTCACCATTCCGCTTTTCAATGTCTCTTGATTCTTTAAAAATATTAAGTTTGCCTGTAGGAATTAACTCTTCCAAAATTTGTAATTTTTGTTTTAGTTTAACATTATCAAAATCAAAATTTTCAGTTGCCTCAGTGGAAGACATTTTGGAAAAATTTACATTATCTGCAGAAAAAGGAACAAGGCCACAAGCTTTAAAGCCATTTTGTATTGTTTCTTTAGACACTGATCTTAGGGCTGATTCAAAAATCATTGAGAAGTGTTCTTTTCTAAGTTTGCCCCCATCATTGTCAATGTGAAATTGTCTTACAGCTTTTTTTCCAGTAAGTCTTTAATAGCTTAAAAACCGCAACATCCATTGGTTGGATGAGATGAGTGGAATTTGGATAAAGGGCTATGATCTCAATCTGATTCTGCTTACAATACTGGGATAAATTATATGTCATGTGGGAGACATGCCCATCAATAAATAATAGTATTGGTCGTGTAATTGTATTTCTGTCCAGCCAAGGAACAAACACATTTGTGATGTATTCAAAGAAGGTAGACCCGCACATCCAGCCTGTCTCTGACCGACCAAGACCCCATTCTTTATTTACCCCCGCAGCTATGTGGGCCGGTATTCTTTCGTACTTGAAAATAATCATTGGCGGCGCAAAATCTCCCTGTCCATTAGCTGTGACTAACACTGTTAAATTCTCCTTGTCATCATTTGTCCCTGCAATGTAGATCGATTTTGCACCTTTTTTCGCTAAAACTTTTTCCCCCTTAGGCTGGAGGAAAAACGCGCTTTCGTCAGCATTAAACACGCGTGTCGGATCTTTCGTGACGTCTAACAAATTTTCCGAACGTAGATATTCATGTATCTCTTGAAACCATCGTCGAAGTTTTTCTTCGGTAACACTTTCTCTGGCTGGTGTCAAGTTTTGGGCGATCCTAGAAGTAACCTGTGGATTCCGTTTTAAAAAAGACGCAAACCATTTCTTGCCGGGTCTTCCGTCAGTAAATGGTGATTTTCTTTTTTCTTGCTTGATGATTAATTGCACGCTATCCAGGACCTGTTCCTTAGTTGGTTGATGCTTCTGTGTCATTAAAAATATCCAATTTACTAGAATTTCTTCTTCCAGGAGACTCAATACGGATGGTGGGCCCATTTTTCGATTAATTGGAGTTCTTCCTGTTTTTTTATCCAGCAGGGTGGTTCTGGGCACCTTAAATGTTTTTGCAGCAGTTGCCACTGGCATGCCTTGCTTAACTGCATTTAGGGCTAAAGACATTTGTTCTTCACTATACTTAAGTTTAGGTGGCATTTTTCTGAAAAAAAAACAAATCAGAATATCACAAAACGGAACAAAAAAAAAATGACGAACACTGGAACTCAAAGAAACGCCACTAATCGTCATCCACTGTCGATTACTGGAGAATCCGCGACACCGCAGACCCAGTTATCGACACCTCCGAAAACTTAGGTTAGAGTTAAAATTTAAAGGAAATTTCCTTAATAACACCTTCTGGCGCATTTAAAATAACATATTGCAAAAAACTACAAGCTTATCTAAAATATTTGCGAAAATACATAATTTATTTTAAGTGTCTTACCTTAACAAATTCATTTAGAAAACCGAAAACCTCACGCACGGCAAACAACTCTCAATTTTTACGCGCGCTTTTAATAAAGATGGCCGATTTGATGTTCACAGTGTTGCCAGACATACTGAAATTCCTGAGTATATACAGAAAGACGTAAAAATACAAATAGGAGCCTAATTATTTAACTTTGAATTTAAAAGTGTCGAATACTGGAGCACTGTCGAAGACTGGTGCCTTTACCTTAGTTGGCCATGACTTAATAAAAAGCGCCATTGTTTAAGCTTTTCAGCGATATAAGCTATAATATGGGTTTTTTCCAAAAATTGCTGAGTTATAGCCAATTCTTATCTTTTTTTAAACAATTTCCCTTAGTTAGCCATGGAAACAAGTGCAATTGTCTTTGCTCTCAGAAATGTCAAACTGTCACATCCAACCTTTGTAAATTAAAATAACCAAAAATTGTAAATATGAATTTTTCAAATGAAGAAAAGCGTGTAAAATTATTGGTTCAACTTTTCTTGGCCATACATTTCCGAGGATACGTTACATACGCTTTATAGAGAACGGTTTTAGGACATGTTAGAAAAGTTAAATTTAGAGACTCGCGCATCAATAGAGTGGTTCCAACATTACTTTCATTATGACACTCCCCCCACCCCCATAATGAAAGAAATGTTATATATTATTTATATCATAATTATTCAAACTCAGGGATAGGAAGAGTTGGACTAATTGCATGGGCCTCCTCGTTCAGCTGACCTATCCATTTTAGATTTTATGCGGTATATTTTTTTGAATATTTTCTAAAATAACTTAAAGTGTATGTAGAGATATTATTTTTTTTAGTTTGTGTAATGTAAATTGTAAAGAACCGTTTAATAAAATATTCTGTCTTTTTATAAGTTATAAATTATAATAATTAAATAAATAACAGAATAAGAATACCATGCCAACTAAGTAACATTAGACATATTTTAAGTGAAATTAGTCAAGAAAGATAATAATTGGCTATAACTCAGTAATTTTTCGAAAAAAACATATTATAGCTTATGTCGCTGAAAAGCTTAAAAAATGACAACTATGGTTTCTATTTAAAAAAAAACATAAGTTTGTGTCATATGTCAAAAATGACAGGCTTTAGAAAAAAACGGAGAACACAATCTCATTAAGGATGTGATTATCTACAATTTTTATCTGAAAACTTTTTGTCTAAAATAGATTATAGTGGAATTAGGAACCATTTTTAAAATAGCCGAAATTTTTCTTTTTCGAAATATCTAGTAAGCCATAAATTTTTTAAAAAATCTGAAAGGCGCATATTTATGACCCCACAAAACTGCAATTCTTTCCCCATTTAACCGACTCTCTATCTCCAGTAGTTTCCCAGATACCCATAGAGAACATAGTAGAAAACTCACCCTGTATACACATGTGTTCATACTACGAGCCCTAACAACTATATGTTGGGACAAGATCATATTATGGAATTATTGCCCTGGTTTTCCAAAATGACTGAAAAATATATGTTTAATTTTTTAAATATAAAGATAGCCATATATCCTAAACAACTTGACAATATTTTTATGAATTTGTAAATCAATCCATATTTACAGTAGCGGATTTTGTTCATAAAAGGACAAATTTGCTGACAACTAAATGTTGGGACAAGTATTTTTAAATAATTAATATCATCATAGGCGGCTTTGCTATAAACGTCACAAATGTCGCAAACTGTTTACTTCAACATTGACAGCGTGTAAGTGACTCGATACTTTGAGTAGTGAGATTTACTGTAAGAAATTTTAATTTTCTTAATTTTCAATTTTGTTAATTTAATCCAAAGTAATGGTCCGTGGAAAAACTACAAATCAAAAACTACGCGAAATTATCATTCGTCAAAACAGTACGGGAAAAACAATTCGAAAAATTTCTGACGATTTCTGAAGTATTCCAAAAACCACGGTCTTTAATATAATAAAAAAAAATACGGCGAATCTGCCAACGTAGACGTTAGAGGTAAAAGTTCGGGAATGCCAAAAGTTGTATCTCAGAGAGATTTACGAAATTTAGTAAAAATTTGCAAGCCTGCGAGAAGAAGTACTCTTCGCGAAGTAACAGTTAAATGGAATACTGTAACTGGTTTAAATATATCAAGAGAATGTTGCCGAAAATATATCCACAAATGACAAATGCGGTCTGGGGTTTTACAAGGTAAACTTTATTTTGTGTGGATAATCAATTACCTGAAGATTATTGATACAAATTCATATTTAGGCCAAAGAAAAACCGCTACTGGCAGAAATTCAAAAGAAAAATCGCTACACTTAGGCAAAATCTAAATTATCGTGGACACAAAATGATTGGAATAAGGTCATATTTAGTGATGAGTCTAAATTTGATGTTTGCGTTGGAGATAATCGAAAACGAATAATACGAAATAAAGCAGAAGCCTTTCATAAAGATTGCTTAAAGAGGGTTGTTAAATTTCCTAAGGAGATTATGGTTTGGGGTTGCATGTCAGCAGGAGGTTTGGGAAAATTAAATTTTATAGATGGCACTGTTAACGCCCAAAAATATCAACATATTCTTGAGACCTCACTTTTGCCTAGTGCTCAAGAATTGTTTCCAAACGAAGACTATATTTTCCAACAAGATGGAGCATCGTGCCGTTCAGCAAGATCAACTAAAAATTGGTTCTGTAATAATAATATAAAAGTTCTATCCCATCCTTCAAGTAGTCCGGACCTTAATGTTGTAGAAACTGTGTGGCCATAAAATGAAGCAATATTTAAGAAACCCCCCTCAACGAACAATTTTTGATTTGCGGACAAAACTGCAGGAAATTTGGGATAATTTTTCTCCTCAAATGTGCCAATCTTTGGTAAATACGATGCCATTAAGAGTTCAGGCAGTTGTTAAGGCGAAAGGTGATGTAACTCCGTATTAAACAAATTTCTTGTTGTGCTGTCCCAATATATAGTTGTCAGCAAATTCGGCTTGATTTTGTCAAAATAAGCTATTATCAAAAGTGATTTGTTTGCAAAGTTATAAATAATATAACATAAATTGTCCCAACACATAGTTGTTAGGGCTCGTAATTAAACAAACAAAAAATAAACCACTAAAAATGCGTTTTTTTTAGTGGTTGGCATATGATCATCCAGTGACGTAAAACTTTGTTGTGTAATGCTTGGTCCTAATAATTAAAAAAATTATTTTACTTGATTTGTCTAGGACCGTACGGCCAACAGGGCTACCCGCCACCACAGCAAGGCGGAGCTTATCCCCCTCCACCTCAGGGAGGGTACGCCCAACCCGGGTACCCGCCGGCGGGCGGTTACCCGGGTCAGAGTTACCCCACCGCTCCGCAGCCCGGTTTCCAGCCGCCCGCTTACGGCAGCGACCCCTACAGCAACCCAGGTGAAGCTTTACCCTTTAACTCTTCCACACATGGTTGGTTTTTTTTCTCTTTCTTTTTTCTCTCTGATTTTTTGGTTTTGCTTTTTATGGCTCCACAGACACTAGTGTACAGGGTGTCCTAGGCTGAGCGTGTATTAGAAGTTTCTGGAGAACTACAATATGTAGATCGGAGATTTTTTGCACAGCATTGTTTTACAACGAGATCTATCGATTAAAAATATTTTCAATATGGCGGCACTTCAGAAAATACCGGAAGTTAACAGCAACTTTCTTATTTTAAATGGGTACCCCCATTTTTTATTACATACTTAAATTTTCCGTAAAATTCTATAAATATTAAATACTCTATACCTAACATTAACCCTTTTTGAGAAAAAAAAATATTTAAAATTTTTGAACGAAAAAATGTGCATAGCCTAAAAGTCAAATTTAGTGATTATCACTTTGAATAAGAAGACTAAGGAAGGAGCATAATGCTATCCATGTATTCATGCATGGTGGGCGGAAAAGCCACCATAAAAGCTCTCTAGGGTGGGGATCCTTGACAGTTCTGTTTGACGATTCATTTGACACATTTGAATTTGATTTGAAATTTTGTGGATTTGTCAGTCTTTACGGAGCTTATTTTATGTTATTTATTATTTATTCTACTACTGATAGTTGTATAAAGGTAGTAAATCTAGATGGAAATTGTGGCAGAACTTAAATTAACAGTGACACTATCGCGATTTATCGAAAAAGACTCTAAAATAGTTCGGCAAAAATTGAGTGAAATAATGGAACACCTTTTCGCTAGTAAGTGACTATATAATATACATACGTGTAGTAAACCGATCATTTATGAAATTCACTTAAATTAACTAAATTATATATTTTTCTTGCATTTTAGCTTTTATTTATTACTTGTCAAAGATTAGATGTCAAAGAATTTAGATACGTTAATTTGACTTACCTGCTTCAGTAGCGTATCGGATGTTTGTGTTAACCAAATACTTATTATAACTTATCTATTTTTATTAGAATTATATATTTTTATAACAATTTTAATAACTACCAACATTTATTCACAACGTAAAATAAAACAACAAATTATTGAGTCTACCCTACATCATAGTTTTACATTTTTTAAATAAAATTAGAACGACACTGATAAACCGGAATTTAAGTCGGCCATATTTGGATAAAATTTAAGATTTTTGATATGCTCCTTCCTTAGTCTTCTTATTCGAAGATTTTTCTTGATTTTAACCAGTAGCCTATGACTTTAAACGTCAAATGATGTAAAACATTAATCTGGCCATGGCATATTGTTTTTTTTTCGATCAGAGAGTATATTATTAATAATATCAACTATTAGATATCACTAAAGGAGCGAAAATACGAGATATATTTTTATAAATACACTTTTTAAACTCTTAAGCAGCGGTATTTATAATATAGGAAATTCAAATAATTCGTTCTCTGACAGATGGAAGTAAATTGTCTGACTGTTTGACACTTAATGTCAAAGGAAGCTAGATAAAATTAATAAAAATATATGTTTTCAAACTAAATCTTAAATAGCTTAAAAACGATTTATTTTAGGTATAGGAACATGTATACTCAGCTCAGAAAGTAACGAATTGGACTCACTAGTGAAATAAAAAAAGTGGGTTTCAATTCCATTATTGCATTTCCATCCAACGTATTGTAATACTTATTTGACTAAATTTGTCTAATACTTGCTTTTGACTAAAATTGTTTTGCTCTTTCTGTCTGGATCCAGCCTAAGATCAAATAAATCAATGAAAAATATAAAAGTTAAAGCCTGTGTGGATCAAAATAAAATGTCCAGATATTTTTTATAATAGAGAGAAATTCACGATATAACGAGCAATATGTCTCTTGATCAAAAAAAGGCGTCAAAGTGGGCTTAGAACACTGATGATCGATATTTCTAAGCCTAACTTGACACCGTTTTTCTCTTAGATTATAAAGGTACACGTGTGTCTGTGGGCGCCATAACTTTCAGGGCTCCCAGTTTTCATAAAAATTTGAATTTTTGTCATAAAATCTTTAATAAAAATTGTTACGATATAAAAAAATAAAGCAAATAAAAAAATTATTTCATAATTTGTAGGAAAATTAAAAAAAATTAAACCATTTTGGAATATGAAATATCAATGTATCTATCTGGGAGCACTCGCACTAATTTTTTCTTTTACAATTAAATCTTTCTCTACGATTTTAAAAGTATATTTGGCTTACTAGAGTATTTATTCATCTATGTTATTAATGATGCGGTTCGTCGATGCGTCGATTTGATGCGCCAATGGGATGGATTTTACGGCGGTTCGGTTTATACTTAATTTGTAGGTAGCTCAGTTTTTTAGAGAAAGGTTTAGTTGTAAGTTACAGGTATTGCATGAGAATTATTTTTTATCTTTTTGCTTCTTTTTTTTTCGTTTTATTATTCATATTAAGAATTTTTACAGTTTTTTAATTTTTTAAAATAATAAACTATTCGTATACTATTGTTTACAGAAAACAAAATAATAAATTTAAAAACAATTAATAAAAGAATGATATGAAAGGTTTTTAGGATTCAATTTTGATACAAATTTGGATACTAGTGGAGTGCTTTAAGCCCTTATGGGATACAAACTTCGGAATTCATTTACTGTGAACGAATTTTTATAAAACTTTTTGCATTGTATTGTTAATAAGATATATTACAAAGTTTGCCCATTTAAATTCGTTGCTTTCACTTTACTATTTAAATAAGCACACATATACAAATGCATTTATACAAGATGGCTCCGTATTCCGGAAAAGCTCTGTATCAGGATTCCGATTTGAGATTTTCACTCCAAACCTTTTACAAAATATATGTTTAACGGTAGTTCACATTTCAAAAATATTTTGATAGATATACAAGGTGAGTCAAATATATATCATTTATTTATTCCAGTTCAGTGAATTTGCTAAAAATTCCGGTTCTAAAAATACCTTAATACCATAGAGTATACTCAATGGTCTTTGAATTATGACCACGTCCATGAGGACGTCAATCTAGACGTGCAGGTACCTTCGTATGAGAACTTCTAATCGAGACGATCGACTTATTGTAAGTTGATCGTTAAGAAACCGCCGTTTGCCAGCTTTTCAACTTGATAATGAATTGCACTTAAGGACCGTACATTTTACCTAACGGACTACAAGAAGAAGATTAAATGAAGCAAATCTTATGTCAAGAAGATCTGCTTCGGGACCAGAACTTACTAGATGTGTTGACTAGGCCCAAAAGCAAAGGCATGGTCTTAATGTAAAAATTACGAAAAAATGTTATTGCCTTCTTTAAAACCGAATATTTTCAACAAAAATAAAGCTAATGAGACGAACCAAAAAACAAAACATCGAGAAAGGATGTATCTAGATGATAAAATGATTTAATTTTTTGCTGTTTTAACATATTTCACAGAGTGTTTCAAACTTTCGGATGGATGATGGGGAGTTTCATTTTTAATTTAGAAAAAGATACTAAAAAGTCAAATAATTTAGCAACATACTGCTTAAAAATCATCAAAATCGGTCCATTTAAATAAAATATATTAACCAAAGACATTATAAATATAGACCGAACATCTCATTCATAAATACTCGTTGGTAGTGAATCAAACATTGCAATGTGTCAAACAAGGACAGAAGAGACAGAGAAGTCTAAAATTTCCGACCCCGACAACTAGGCGCATTTGGATTGTTCTAATGGCCAGTGGCGTATCGTTTTTTGGAACGAATTTAATTAGTAAAGTAAAAGTAAAGTAATTAGTAAAATGTTTACTCCATATTAATATACTACATTAACACTTTTTCGTCAGATGAGTTTTGTTATAAGGTCTAATATAATAATATAATTAATATCCCACATATACTTATGTTGAAACGTTAGTAGGTAGTTTTCGAAAATCGCTCCAACGTCGATTTTCAATTTAAACTTTCAGTTAATTCTATATAAACTTTCAGTTACTTTTGAATATTTACAGGGTGACTCAGGCTTCCGAAACAGTTCTATATTAGGTTTGTGGTTGGTGACTTTTCTTTCAATTTTTTTTCAGAATATGGAGGCAATGGTAAAGCACATTTTAGACATTTTTTGTAAACATAGGTGGCCGGAACATATTTTCAAACTAAAGTTGTAGATTTGCCATTAAATTTCCATTCCAGAAATACCTAGGGTTGCCACCTGTCCTTTTTGAAAAGGACAGTCCTTTTTGGAATAACTTGTCCTATTGACTTTTTTACTTAAAAGTCATTTTTATTTACGTATTTTCCCTGAGAAAATTACCTACAGCAAACAGAAATATTATTTTCGTCCAAATTTAATTAGAGATGTTATAAAACTTATAAATAAATTTTTCTTGTTTAAAATAGGCAACATTATTTAGAACTTCCCGTTTAATCTCAAATGATAATTTAGGTTTTAGTTTTACCTTTTTTGATCTTAAAAAGAACTTTTTACAATTAGTAATTAGTAACGATTTAGTTAGTTCGCAATCGATAGCTTCCTGTAAAGTACTGTGTAATAGTTGTTTAATCTTGTATTATTAATAACTTCCTATACCTAAAATCAATATTTAATGAGAAAATTGTATTTTTTTGAAAATATAAGACAAGATTTGACTTTCGGTCTTCTTCTTGTATTATGATGGCTCTGATACGAGGCAGTCACCTTTTAGTCTCTCAATAGAAGGCATTTATCATTAAAAGTATCAAATCTGTGTGCTACAGTATGGGATTTCTGTCGCATAATAATGAATATTACGTTTATTTACAAATCCATTACTTTTAAAGGTAGCTTCATCAGACAATCAAATTTTAGTTAAATGTCCCAATCTTCATGAACTGTATTAAGCATATGTATAGCGGTTTGAATCACCCTGTATGTTGACAAAAATATTTTCAAAATGTGCGTTACAATGGCTCCCATCTTATGTAAAAAATTGAAATAAAAATTACAAACCAAAAACGTCGTCCCATTCTAAAAAAGGTAAACA